CATCGAAAAAAAAAAAATTTAATGTCTTTATATCTTTTTAACAAACGAACAAAGTTTTACAAATTTAGGAAATCAATTTTTTTTTTTTTTTATATCGTATTAATAGATCATATGGTAAAATTTAAAATAAAAAAAAGTAACGGAATTATGACATCATATATATATATATATATATATATATATATATATATATATATATATATATATATATATATATATATATATATATATATATATATATATATATATAATATATATATATATATATATATATATATATATATATATATATATATATATATATATATATATATATATATATACCACATGTAAACACTGAAAATCGATTTACCTGTTTTTGTAACCTTTTGATATTGCAGTTAATATAAACATTTATAGAAAAGGTAGCTATAAAATCTTTTTCGAAGTACTAAAGGATTAACAATACTAAAGAAAAAAAATCAAATAAAGACATAAATTGAATTTTTAGCAAGATTTTGTCTTGGCTTTTAGTAAATGAATAAAAGCAGCAAGTTCCAATAATAAAACTATCTATTATTCATTTTTAACAATAGACACCAACGGGAAGGTAAGCTAAGCTGTCTATCAACACAAAACGGATTTAAAATACTCATAATAAAAAAACACTTCCTTATAACTAATATTTACACCCTTGACTCTAAAATCCAGTGGAAAGTAACAAACCAATTTTAAAAGAATATGAAAGGCAAAACTAAAAAAACAATTTTGAGTTATCTATATTTATCCTTTTACTAAACTTTAATATAGTATATTTGTTTTTATATTCAATATTAGTTATTCAATTATTTCAAATTTAGGACATTAAAGCGCCCTGGATTTAAGGATCAAGGTCGCATGCTCTCTTATACACATTACACTAAACATTACCAGACATTATGTGTTTCCAGAATTAAAAAAAGCTAGACAACACAACCTAGCTCTAAAGCAGTAACACCGCCTGGCACAAAATGCTGCTAAGTCACACCTCTGCTATAAGTACACCGGTTGGCTGGCAAGGTTAACAATCTTGCTTAACATATTGCCAAGTCACACCACTTTGAAAACATGGAAACAACATAATGTAAACATATATACAACTATTAACAAATATGACTTCATATAACACATATAAACACAATATATAACAATATTAAATGACAAATATATTTATCAAAAACTATGAAAAAAATAAAAATATTAAAGTTATACATACAAAATGTGCTCACAACCTACAAACAGTAAATTTTAGAAATGAAAATATTAAGACTATAAATTTAGAACATTAGAAAATATAACATTATTTGTGTAGTATTTTTCACCTACCATACCTTAAATAGGATGTTTATCAATTTTGAAAAACAAACTATTAGATGCTCTAGTTCATGAACATGCAACGTATAGTTGACCATGGGAGAAACACGTTTTTTTTAGATATACCTTAACTCTATCAAATGTTTGACCTTGACTTTTATTGATTGTCATCGAATAAGCCAATCTGACAGGAAACTGACGACGTTTTAGAACAAAAGGTAAATTAGAATCTGATGGAGCCAACTGAATTCGAGGAACAAATACCCGTTTACCTTCAGAAACACCTGTCAAACTCTCTGCATCAATATAATTGTTTTGGAGAGCACAAACTTTCGTTCGGGTTCCATCACATAGCCCAGCTTTAAGATCTAAATTTCTAAGTAGCATAATTACACAACCAATTTTAAACAATGAGTAGGCATACCTGAAGGAGTTAAGCTGTTCAAAAACTCAACAGGGAAATTATTTATTTCATTAAGATTGTCAGTGTCTATTTGATCAGCACTTAAATAAGTTTTGACCTCTCCATGTAGACGTTCAAGCACTTCTTCATTGATTGACAATGAATCCACATTAGTGGGTGTTAAAATGACACGTTTAGCATAATCATCTTGTTGAGCATTTCCAAATATTTTTTCAACAATTGATTCGTTTTCTCTAATAATGCACAGTTGCTGTATTTCAATACATCCCTTAAAAGGATCTTCCTCCTTGACAGGTATTGTTCCACTACCAAGTTTTAACAGCCATTCGGAAAAATCTCCTTCTCCATCACGTACTCTCATATTTTCAGTTAATGTAAACTTCTGCACCCATTGCCACTGTAAAGAACATTTTATACATGATTCTACAACTTCAGCTGGTCGCCCTCTTTTCACAACAGGCAAAATTTGCCTAAAGTCACCACCAAAAAGAATGTTTTTTCCTCCAAATGGAAAGTTGTTGTTGCAAACATCTTTTAACAACCGATCGATTGCATTTAAAGCGTGTTTGGGAATCATGGATGTCTCGTCAAGCATAAACAAACTAACTTGCCTTAAAAATTGTCCCTGAATAGAGTTAGGAGTCACATTACATGTGCTGTTATCCAGTATTGGGACAGGAAGTTTAAATAAGCCGTGCAGCATAGATCCATTTGTAAGAAGAGTTGCTGCTATGCCAGTCCATGCAGCTGTAGTAGATTTAACACCCCTACTGCTCGTTTCAGCAATCAAATAATTATATTTAAAAGTTTTGCCACTACCGGCTGGTCTATCCATAAAAAACAATCTGGAATGTTGATTTTTTACACTTGGTTGCTCGTTCAATGCAGCAAGGACAGCATTACTTACATTTAATTGATTGACATTAAGAAGCGGTCTCATTCTATTAGCTTCGTCAATTGATTGCTGAACATTATCATTTAAATTTTCTAGGTTAAAATCTATGAATTCATCAACAACAGGCAAATTATAATCAGATAGCATTTTACCACTTTGATTAATAATCTTTTCGATTTGAAGAAGAGTAGCTTGTTCAGCTAACATAAATGGAACTTGGCGATGAATGAAATCCTCCATCATAAAAGCTTTGTATGTATTCCAAAGATGCAAAGGGTCATCAGGTTCACAAAAGGTTAAAATAATTGAAAACAGCTGCCTAATTTGCTTAGGCATTTGCGTTAAAACTGCCTCAGAAAGAGTATTCTGCCATTCAGTGTCATCTTGCAACAAACCATTAAAAACACACGCTTAACGAAAGGTTTCAAGAACTATTCCATTAACAGTACGCAAATCCTCCCAAGATGTTGCTCCTTTTGCCTGCAAAAGTAACAATCTAAGAAAAAATAATTCTCCTGTTGGACTAACTTTATACATTCTTACTATCACCTTATTTCCACCTCTTTGTCTAACCTTCCATTTACAATGTTTGTCATCAAATACAAAGTGATATGGAATGTCAACATATGAGTAGCAATGGGCTCCTTCATTTTCAGAATTCAATTTAAACCAGGCCGTAAGGTGTGTATCACGTTGAGCAGCATGATCTAAAGCCACTTGTTCTTCTCCTTCTCTAAAATATACAATCTGATTCTCAGGAAGATGAACCTTAAGACGGATAATAGTGTGTGACATATGACTTATGGGATACTCAAATATTCGCCACAGTGCCTCAGGTGCACTAACATAACGACAATCTAAGAAAGTGTTTATTTCATCGTGATTAACCTGTTCATTTATCAAAACATTCGCAAAATCATGCCCTTTGTATATGTATTTGTACAAATATTTAACAGCCTTTACAGACATGCAAGCTTCAACATTAATGTGGGCTTGATATTTCTTTGATAACCAAGGATTATAAGGTACCACCCAACGGTTATCTACATTGTTGCCTTTAATATTGATAACCAACCCATTATCATGACGCCTATAGCGTGGACAACCATTGTGAACAGCTACTGTGTTAGCATTAAAATCTTTAGGATAATTTTTGCTGCACACCCTATCTTTTATGAAGGGAGAATTTGGATTCAGTATCCCACATGGGCCGTGAATCATGCAAGTTTTGATAATATCATAAAGTTCACGATTAACTATCGGATCTGGAATTTCTGCACAAATCAAATTATCGATATCCTGTGATGTTTCAAGTTTATCATAATTTGCTAAATGAAGTAAAATAGACCACGCTTTTGAAACTCAATAACCTGAACATGCGTTACAACTTTGCCTAATACACCATGTTTGAATATATCATTGAGGAGGTTATTTAACTTGAGTTTAAATACTAGAGTAACCAAATCAGGTCTATCATTCGCATTCTGACCCGGATATAAATTTTCTGTTATTTCACGCCATTTTGGGTTGCAAGTAAAAGTAATAAAAAGATCTGGTTTACCATACTTTTTAATAATTGCCATAGCATCTTCAAAATTTTCTTTTAAAGCTCTAGGACCTCCTACATAAGATGATGGCAATATATTTATATATATGTATATGTATATATATATATATATATATATAAATATATGACAATATATTTATATATATATGTATATGTATATATATATATATATATATATATAAATATATATATATATACATATATATATATATATATATTTATATATATATGTATATATATATGTATATATATATATATATATATATATATATATATATATATATATACATACATATATATATATATATATATATATATATATATATATATATATATATATATATATATATATATATATATATATATATATATATATATATATATATATATATATATATATATATATATATATATATATATATATATATATATATATATATATATATATATATATAGAACTATTTATTAATGAAACATGGGACATTTAGAGACCACTTTGAAAAAAAAAGCTGGACTTAAAGCAACCATACTTTAAAAAGTACATGGGAATGTTAAAGGGTTAAAAATGGAAATCTAATAAAAATAGAATACAAAATATAATAAAAATATCACTATTTAAAAGTTTGATAATATTTTTTGATTATAATTTTTTGATATAAATATATATATGATTACATAAAACATTTTTTACATAGTTATTACTGTCACGAGTTTTAATTTAAGTTTTAATAAATTGTATAGTTTTTTTTTTTAAATTTTATAAAATTTGGAACTTTTTTTAGACTTGTCAGAACTGCAATTACCTAGGACTTGTCAAACAGAGTTTGCTGATCCGGATGATTTGCTTAATTTTAAACTGACCATACAACCTGATGAGGTATATAATTTAGAGTTTGTTAATTATATTGCTAATTATTATTAGCATATATTCATCTACTAAAAAGCATTTTCAATTATTGTGCTCCACTCAGCCTTAATGAGGTATATATATATATATATATATATATATATATATATATATATATATATATATATATATATATATATATATATATATATATATATATATATATATAAATAATAAGTTTGAATATGGACTGAATAATAGGTTTGCATATGCAAGGCTTTGTGTGACTTAAATATATTTTCAAGATTTGTTATACCCTATATATTATTTACCCTTATATAATAAATACAATATATATATATATATATATATATATATATATATATATATATCAGGCTTGGTCGAGAAGCGGGAGCGATCGCTCTCGATTGCTGACCACGTAAATAATATTTAGTTGCGAAAAGCTGGCCAGATTTTTTAGTCATTTTGAGAACATTTTAAAAAGCAAAAAAAAAAAAGCGCAAAAAAATTAATTGGACCGATGAGAGACAATTACAAAAATAAAAAAATTAGGCAAATAAAATATCTTTAAACGCGAAAAAACTTAAAGCTACGTTTAGAACAAATATTTTCAAAACATCGCTCTTTTATAATTTTTTTATAAAATTAAACGATGTTTTATATATAAAGTAACATCTTACGATCTTACGAATTTTAAAAACACTTTTCCAATATTTGTTGAACATTTTTGCTGTACGGAGGGTTGAACCAAATTATATTTCTATTTCGCTTTATTGCAGTTTTTGTTTCAAATTTTTGCTCGAAATTTTTAAATCCGCTTTTTTAAGAGCATCTTCATACACGCGTTTGGAAGAGTTAAAAATATTTTTATTAGAAGAGTTCTGATTTAGTCTGTTGTTAATTAAAATAGGAATTTGTTTTAAGATTTGAGGGGGATGATTTGAATATACGACAATTCACCATTAGGTTAATAGAGACATCAAGAAAATTCACTATTTTTAAATTTATGTTTATTTCAATTTGGAAGCCAATGTTTTTGAAAATTTTTATAATATTTTCTGATAAATAAAAATATAATTGGGTTCAACTATTTGTGAAATAGAAATAATTTGGTTCACTTAGTGCAAAATAGAAATATAATTTGAGTCAACTATTTTTCTGATATTGTCAAGTTGAGGCCCTGATTTTTTTTGCATTATAATTAAACCATCATCACAATACAAGCCTAATTGATTAAAATGAACTATTTTAGCAGGGAATTTAAAATATATAAGCCTACAAGTTTGCAAATTTCTGCTCCGTCGTAACTTCCCATTGTTACATCAAAGCATTCGTGCCTGGTTTTTTTCTTCCACGTATCGTTATCAAAATAAAGTAAAGTTTTTCTGCAATGTTTAGTTAGACGAATAGTGTCGTCTGTAATTTCAGTGTGGAGTTTTCCAAAATCTATTTTTTATCTAAAATTTCGGCTGTAATTGAGGGGTAAAAATCATTAATATCAAATTGTATAAATGTGTATTCATTTTTATTACTAATTTTAGAAAACCAATTTATAACATCAGTGGTATTTTTCCACTGTTGCAAATTTAATTTATTTAGAATAATATTATTTATTTCGTCTAATTTAATTTTACTAACATGCCCTAGTTCACTTTTTGAGGGTACTAGAAGCCTACAAGGGAGTTTATTTTAAAAATTTGATTTATGATCTTTTAGTGTGTGATAAATGCTTGCGCTTGTGCGACTGATTTAGTTCTAGCTTCTAAATTAATTGTTTTGCAATGTTTTGGCCTTCTAAATTAATTGAATTTTCTAAGTTTTTTGGTGCTTTTGTGTAATTAATAGAAATATTATCGCGCAGTAATTTATGGTGATTATCTGGGGCAATTTGGTATATGTTGCTTGTTTTATCAGCAAAAACTAAAATATTAGGGTTTGATTTTATATTATTAATGTCTAATTTGAGTTCCTTTTGGAAATCATTGTTAATATTTGTTAATGGTGGGGTGTTTTTTATTTTGAATCCAAAAGTTTTTTGTTTTGAATACAGAAATTTTTGGATTTTAAGTAAAAAGAATCTAACACTTTTAAATAAAATATCGCTTTACAATAAATATCTTATTACATATTTATGCCATAATAATAAAAATAAGCAATTAAATTATAATTCATTATTATGTTTTTGTGAGTGTCTTCATGGTAAAAAGCATTCGTTATTGAAGATATTTGTTTAATGTTTTATCATAATTGTTTTTAAATAAACTTGATAAGTTTATATGATCAGTATAAGAATTTCATTAAAAAAGCTGTAAAAAAAATAAAAATTAGTTTTTAAAAATAAAAATAAGATAGAGCTGTAATAGTTTTTAAAAAGCTTTTTATAAATTTTTAGTTTTATATTTTCAATTAAAAACTTTTTAAAAATATAATGTAAAATTTAACCTACATAAACAACTTATTCTAAAAAAAGAGAAGATTTTAATATACAATATTTTTATAGTTGCGTTTTTAACTTAGTACGTAAAATACAACTTAATTAAATCAAAAACAATATATACTAGCATATTTAATAACTTAAATAAAATCTTTTTTCATAAACACTTATAAAAATTTGTTCATTTAAATTTAAATTCTTTAAAACAAAAGCAATTTTAAAATCATAGAACTCATTCATTCAAGTTTTATATATAAATACTTTTTCTTATAATTACTTGCTCTTAAGCTTACAGATATTTCAAATTAGAAAAAACAATTTCACTAAGAAAAAAAGTAACAAATGATCTTTCATATGTAAAAATAGGAAAAAATGCGAAACAAAATAATATTTATAAAATAGTCAATCCTTTTAATAAAAAAGCGAGCTAAATATACGCTAAAAAATAATTTTAAAAATTTGGTCCAATTTAATGCTTTTTTTAATGATTTTTTTTTTAAATATTCAGTTGCTTGAATAAATAAATATAAATAAAAAACAACCATTGCTGATGATTTTTTTGTTGTTGATATATTTATGATATGATACAAAACATGACAGTGAACTAACAAAACCATTACTAAAACATAATCAATTATCATTCATTCATGAAAGTTTTGATTGCCTGCTCAAGCACTATCAGCTTGGGCAGCTCATGTCGCCTGCCAAGTCCGTTTTATATGGGCATTTTTTTCATGCACTCATTTACTCCTGCTGGGGCCTGTATATTTATGTTTAAGTGCTATTTTATATTTATATTTTGATATTTTTGTTGTGTTTAAAAATGTATTTTTTACTGCTGTTCTATAATTTATAATTTATTTTATAGGGATTTTATAAAAATGGTATATTTGTATTCACTTTCAAAGTAAGTTTTGATTTATCATATTTTTTTAGTAATGTAGTTAAATATTTTCAAATGTGTTTCACAGTTGGTTAATGTTTAACAAACTTGTTGTGACTGTTAATGTACTATTTGTTATTGGTGACTTTGTTAGTACTTGAAGTGATAAGTAAGAAATCTTATTTAAACCTTGATTTAAGATGAGCAACATGTTTGAGTTATTAAATTTAGTCAAATAGTTAAGCTAGTTAAAAGAGCTTTAAAAGTATATCATTATTATATGTTGATTGTATAGATTGGACCTAACTATCCACATGAGCCTCCTAAAGTAAAGTGTGAAACAATGGTAAGATTTACATTAGCTTTTTTTGCATTACAGGTTCAGAAAATAAATAAAAATTTTAAATTTTAAATCAGAAAATAACTAAAAAAAAAAAAAAAAATTAAAATTAGATTATTGTCATAAATCTAATAAGTTATAATAAGTTGTAAATAAGTTTATAATTTGTATTATCTTATTAATTGTATATCATTATATAAGTTAAAATGTTTACCTAATTAGGCTAAAAAATACTTTTATATAATTTTTAAATATAAAATACAGGCAATAATAAAAGTAACAAAGATACATCCATGACAAGAGATGTTAGCAGGCCTTTGCATAAAAGGTGTGCAGTCACATGCCTTTTATGGCCATGCATATTAATAGTTTCTTTTGACAACTTGGCCACGGCTCTTTTCAAGTTTTGACAATTAACGCTTTTAAAAATTGCGCTAAAAAAAACAGAGCAAACCTAAATGCAATTTTTAATTTAATTGATTCCATAATTACAATTAAACTGCTACAAAATTTCCCAAGTACTTTATTGCAATGTAATAAAAGACGGTCATTAAAAAAAAAAAAGAATTCAGATTAGAGTTAAAGGCAAAGGTTTCTTTTGAAGTAATTGTAAAAACATTCATTTTATGCAAAAGCATAAATCTCATGCGCTTACAAAAGCATGAAATTTTGTATGCTTTTGTAAGCGCATTCAAAAGCCATGCTAAAACATAATTACTTTCTTCAATAGCGAGCTTAGTTGTTTTACTTAAAAAGTAACTCTATTGAAAAAAGTCGTAAAGTTTTGGCATGGTTTTTTAAAAAGTCTCTGAAATAAATTGTTTTTTATTTTAAATAAGTATTTTTTATTTTAAATAAGTGTTTTTTATAATAAATAAAAAACTATCAATCGCAAAATTATTTGGAAAAAAAATTGCTGAAGTAATTCGTTCGTTTTGAAAAATCTTAATCAAATGCCAACGTTTGCATAAGCAAAATTAAATAAACATGATCTTCGTTTTTCTGTCTGTTTTTTAACAAACGTGCATGTTTTTTTTTTTTACTTTCGCTCACAATTAAATTTACATGTGAAAAGTGCCTTTTTTTATTTTTGTCAAAACAAAGTATTTTATGTGTAGTCATATTAGGCGTGCAACTGCACGTCTCTTACAGGAAGGCCTGTGTTAGGCATTTTATTATCAGACTTTGCAAAACAGAGGATTTTGTTGTAAAAAAAGTCTCTTACAATGACAAATTTTAAACAGCTTTTAAATTACTTTCTTTTATTTTTGATTTTTATACAAAATGTAAATAAATTGAATGATGTAGCTTTAATGGTAGTGGAGTGTAACACCCTTAGTGGAGTGTAACACCTTTGACTAAGGGTGTTTGTTTAAAATTTCAAAATAGAAAACTGCAGATAAGTTTTTTTTAATTTTTATTACCTAATAATTTTCTTTAAAGGTTTATCATCCAAATATAGATCTTGAAGGGAATGTTTGTCTTAATATACTAAGGTATGTATGATTACACAAGATATTATGATAACACAAGGTATGTATGGTAATACAAAGTATGTTTTTATTTGAAGAGAGTGTTAATACATGTATGTAAACAGTCTTTCACAGGAAGATGTGCGATCCCATGTCATTATAAGGCCAGGAAAATCACATTTTGCTTTGAAGATTTGAACGTGGCTATTTCAAAAAACATTTAAAAAAAGCGCTGAATTGAAAATATTTTGAATTATACTAATATATAAGGTGTTACAATTAAATAAGTTTGATCTTAAATGCTTTATTATTGAAACGCTGTTTAATGAAGTAACAAAACACTTCTAATGAATTTTTATAATAAGCATTAATTTTACTTTTATAGTTATGTATTTTTTATGATAAATGTTAATCTTTTAAAACATTAGAAAAAAAAAGTGTTAAAACAAAGAATGAATTGGTTTTTTAATGCGTGAATTAAATAAACTAAGCATTTTAGTTTGATGAGTTTTGTTTTAGTTAGATTATATATATATATATATATATATATATATATATATATATATATATATATATATATATATATATATATATATATATATATATATATATATATACTATATATATATATATATATATATATATATATGTATATATATATATATATATATATATATATATATATGTATATATATATATATATATATATATATATATATATATATATATATATATATATATATATATATATATATATATATTCAACTTTTGCATCTTTATTGTATTGGGTATAAGTTATGTGAGATTTTTATATGATTATACAATGCATGAGTTGTTTGTGTAAGTTATAGAAATGGTCTTAATAAATAAAAGTGCATTTGTTGTGAGATTTTGATTAATCAAACAAAAAAAAATTGATCAATAACAACCCTAGTTCATATATATTTGTTAATATATAGGTGTTTAACTATGTTAGCTTGTTGTTTTGTGAGACTGTGTGTGTGTGTGTGTGTGTGTAAGTTTGCACACTTAGGTGTGCAAACTTACTAATGTAACAGGTGCATATTAATATATATTTGCTTATACTGTTTGTAAATTATGTTAATTTGTTTGTGTAAGGAACGTGTATGTGTAAGATGTGTTATCCTCTTATTTGTGATAGTAGTTTTGCGCGTATATGTGTGTAAGGTATGTTAGCTGGCTTGCTTATGAGGTTAAGCAAGTACATGATTGAGTGCGTTTTACACAATTGCGCATGTTTTACACGATTGCATGTGTTAAAAATTTATATAGGATACTTATGTGTTAAAGTGAACCACCTATTATTAAACTATTATATGAACTTTATTTTTTAGGGAGGATTGGAAGCCAGTGTTAACTATAAATGCGATTGTATATGGTATACAATATCTCTTCTTGGTATGTATTTATTGCATTTTTTTTGTATGGCATTTTAAGAAATTATTGAAGCTAAAATCTTTAAAAAGATAACCAAACCTTGAATGCAATGTAATTCAAACTCAAATATTTTAAAAAGCTTTGTTTTATAACTACAGTTATGACTAAAAAAATCCAGCCACTCAATTAATATAGATAGTTGTATAAAAAGAGTGTTGGCAACACACTAAACAAGCATGCACAATGTAGGTGCTATGTATTCGCTATGTGGGTGATTGCATAGTTAATAACCAATAAAAAATATCATATTCCTTATTTTAATATACATTAAAATCATGTGAAATTCAATCATTATTATCTAAGAGCTAGAACTTGTTAAATGCACACAAGAACAAATTTAAATAGAAGATGGCAAATCTGAAAAAATGATTGCTGCATAACAACTGTTTATTAGTGTACAACAACTGTTCATGATATTATTTAGTTCAACAAGTCAGTAGATGGCTTCAATCCAGAAAATTACTGTAGAAGACCATTTCAAAATAACCATTTTAAAAACTAATAATATGATAGGCTATTAAACTGTAAAAGACGTACAGATTTCAAGCTCACAATTTCTTACTTAACCTGCCTCCTAGGGTGATTGTTAATAATCAAGTTAAAATTAAAGATGACCAAATATTAAAAAGAACAGAATATTTAATCAAAAACAACATCAAAAAAATTGCAATCTTGGGAAGGATAACAATAAAGAACAAAAAGAAAGATGATTGATTGAAGAAGACTTTTTACAAAACAGTAGCTGAATGCATCACAATTCATTCATTTTTTCTTTTGTTTTTTAGAATAATTAGTATGCTTAGTTGGTTCAATTTTCATTTTAAAAAGTTTTCAATTGAAAATATAAAACTAAAAATTTAAATAGCTTTTTAAAAGCTGTTTTTTAAAAGCTCTTTGATTCTTTGTTGTTGTTGTTTATTTTTTTTACAGTTTTTTAAAAATAGTTAATCCTTATTGGGTTTTGCATCAGCATTATTTTATCTGTATAACCTGATTTACACGGGTGTAGAGGTGGGTGAAGCTGATCACCTCCCATTTCTGCCAATATATATATATATATATATATATATATATATATATATATATATATATATATATATATATATATATATATATACATATTTATGCATATGTGTTAAAGTTTTACTTTAAAGAAAACAAGTATATATTATTATATTTTTTCTTTTTTAAGGAACCAAATCCTGATGACCCACTAAATAAAGGTATATTTATTTATTCTTTCCTAGTTTCTGTTTTTTTTTTCTTTATGTTAAAATAATAATAGTTAAAATAATCTTTACAAATTAACTATAAATGCTTTGATTTTCAACTATTTGATTTTTTTTCAAGCATCAAAATAATATTTTTAAATAGTAATAAGAGACAAAAAAAGTTAGAAAAAAATATACTTATTGAATTTTTACTAATTTTAGATGCAGCAGAAGTATTACGGCAAAATCGTCGTCTTTTTGAACAAAATGTACAAAGAACGATGAGAGGGGGATATATTGGAAGTGTGTACTTTGAGCGATGTATGAGATGACAACTTCTTAGCATATAAATCTTTTAAAGAGAATTTGGAATGTGAAAAATATTGGAATGCTATTCATTGAGTTTGGTTTAAGTTATTTGCAATGTTTCTTCTTTGAAACAGAAGTTCAAATAGTTTATGCAAAAAAGCAATATCAAAAATAAACTCAACAGAATTAATTATAATTATAATTTGTTTGAATCGGTAAAAACAATATAAAATTAAATGTAAAAGCAAACATTAAAGTTTCTCAAGTGTTTATAAAAATTTATATGTTTCGGTTTATTGTTTATTGATTTATAAGTTAGCTTAAAGATTACAAAAAAATTATTCTAAAGAAACTAAATAAAATGCTTAAAAATTCTTTCTTAAAGTTCTTTGTCTTCTTCGTACATTTGTAAATATAATTTTCTTATTGCTATCAATTTTTTTAATTTCTATTATTGCTACTTTTTGTTATTAACATTTATATTTTGTTATTTTAAATTCTGAACAAAAATCTTTTGTTAGCTCTTCATGAAACTTATACAGTTATAATTATGAGTTTAAATAATATGTAATGTAATGATATCTTCAAAAAACACTTTTTTTTCGTATTTCATAAAATTATTTTAGTTTTGTTATTTATAACTTTCAAAAAGTTAATCATCTTACAATATTAAAATATTAAATTACAATCAGTTTTTTGCATTTAAAGATTCTATTTATCTATTTGCAAAAAAGTTTAACATCAATTCAACATAATTGTTGCATTAATCAAATTACTGATCTAAATTTTTTTGCAAAATACCATTAAAATTTTTCAATTAGTTTTATTAAGTATTTAACCAAACCATTGTGTAGCAAGCTTTCATTGGTATTAAAGTTTTTTTTGTAATAAAATGAATGATACTCTTTCTTCAAGTTTAGAAAAGTTTTAACAACTCAAAGTTCTAAGAGAACTAGAATTAAATAGCACAATAATATTTATCCATTTGACAAAAGTTCAGGCTTAGTTCACATACAAAAAATCAACCTGGTAAATCTAATTGTTGCACAAGAATAATGTGCACTCACGAAATGACATTCTATTGGCTTAGTATTGCTATACACCTCCAGTTTATATGAAATTTATTAAAAGAAATGTAGATTTATTCTTGTTTCAATAATGAAATAGAATCAGAATGATTTCTTAAATTATTAAATAATCAACAAAATAGTATGAAATATACAATTGAAAATGAACACAATTTACAGATAAACAAAACTTTATAAATATTGTTATTTAGAGAGTAGTTGAGAGAAAATACATCTGCAATCTTGCCACAACTCAAAAATAACTTATTCTCAAATAATTTATTCTCAATTATTTTCAAAGGGTTCATAAAATGGTTTAGCATTTTTTTGAAATGAAAGAACATATTGCATTAAAATTTCATTTTATTTTTTTAAAGTTTTTCTTTATATATTATCACATAAATAATAAGGTGTAATATCTCTAGAAATATTGTAAAGAATAAAGTGAAAATGATCCAAACCATAATCACATGTTTATTTAATAAAAGAAGAAAAAAACTTATCAAGATGTATACTCAGGGTTGTGGAGTCGTTAAAAAAAAGTAGCGACTTTAGTCGTTGAAATTTTCAAAGTACAACTCCGACTCCAACTCCTAAGCAAAATTTTTCAAAAATTCTTTGAATTCTTTAAAAAATATTACGCATTAAGTTAAAAAATTTTTTTTTGCCAAATTTATGAAAAGTTCTTTGAGATTTAGTATGAATATAAATAAGGTAAGTTGAATATTTTGTACATGCTCATGCTATACAGAGAAGTTTTACAAATGGAGTTGGAGTCGTAATTTTGTTTAGCAACTTCGACTCCGCTAAAAATGTTGCGACTCCCACTCCATGGTCATGTGTATACTTATTCAAATAAATGATAATGTATAATAGGATTGCTCAACAATTAATCATTGATCAATATTGATTAAAATTAGTAAGATATATATTATAGTAAGACATTCTTAAGATATGTTAAATATGCAAGTTATTTTGTTTTTTATATAAATTTTATTGTTTATTGTTATTAAAATCTGTTTTTTTTTCGAAGTTTAAAAAGTATTCTAATGGAAAAAATCAAGATAAAAAAAATCATTGGAATTGCTATTACAGGTGCTACAATATTTAATGATAATAAATTTATATATTTTTTAAAAGTTTAACATGCATGATTCTACACTTGTGTGTTTTGAATGGATTGCCTTAATTTTCATTTTAATATAACATATTATATAATATAAAATAGTTACAGCAAATTTTCACAACTTCTGTTATTTTGTTTTGCAGATCAGTACTAGTAATTTTGATGTGATACTATCACTAGGGCGTGATGTGATACTATCACTAGGACAGGGTAACCAGCAGTCCTTAAAAACCTTGTAAACCTGGAAATGTCCTGGAATTTGATAGGTCCTAGAAAAGTCCTGGAAAAACACCCCTTTTAGCAATAAATCCTGGAAATCCTTTAACTTTTTTCTGAAATACTTCAGTATTTCATTATCATGTTTTTACCTTTTACAGAAATATTATTAGTATTGCGTAGATTTCTACTGAATTTATTATGTATTTTCTGACTTGTTACTGTATGTTAATGTCAGTATTATTAACATCTGGTATTGTTATTGTCTGTTAATGTCAGTATTATTAACATCCGGTAATTATTAATATATATATATATATATATATATATATATATATATATATATATATATATATATATATATATATATATATATATATATATATATACAGTCATGTGCATGAAAATAGCAGTGGGAGAAAATTATTTATAAAATACATTTAATTTTTTTACTGATGGTTAATTTTGTATATTTTATTCTCTAAATATTTTCTGTTAGGGTTTTTAAATATAAAGAGGTTGGCAATATTGCTGTTTATACATACATGTATCAGAATTTAAATTAAATTATAAAATTTTGCTTTATTAACTGTGCGTTATAATAGCAGTGAATATACACTTTATTTTCTATTAGTGCCTTAAAAGTTGTTTTTACCATCAATTTTTTTTATACATTAAGGTAAGTGTTTGTTCATTAAAATTAAACGATATTTTATTAAGTTTCACAATTTTATTACAGTTAAAATGGGTAGAGCAAAACATTGTTCCAATGAGAAGCGTCAAATAATTTTAAATATGTTAAAAGATGGTAAAACTTTCAAATTCATCCAAGATGCTTTACAATGTTCTGCAAAAATGATTTCCAATGCCAAAAAATGGACACAAAAAGCGGAATTGCGTGGGGGAAAATTTAGAACGTCATTGAAAACGAACCGTAAAATTATTAGATGTGCAAAGATAAATCCTTTTATGAGTTCCACAGCCATAAAAACGGAATTAAATTTACCAATATCATCCTCGACAGTGAGAAGACGTTTGATAAAAGCCAATTTAAAAGCCAGAAGGCCCAGAAAAACTCCACTTCTAAATAAGAGACAGATTAAAAATCGAATCGCATTTGCTAAAGAGCATCAAGAATGGCCATCATCGAAATGGCGTAATATTCTTTGGAGTGATGAGACTAAAATTGTTTTATTTAATCCAGGTATTCACGAAAAGTTTGTACGAAGACCCCCACGAACAGAATATAATATAAAGTATACCACCAAGACAATAAAACATGGTGGCTGCCAGGTGATGGCATGGGGTTGTTTTTCTTGGTTTGGATTGGGCCCTATTTTTTGGATCAAAGACATCATGGATGCAACTGCTTATGTTAAAATACTGCAAGAAGTCATGTTACCATATGCAAAAGAAGAAATGCCTTTGAAGTGGATCTTTATGCAGGATAATGATCCTAAACACACCTCTCGTAAAGCTAAAAATTGGTTTGTAGAGAATAAGGTTGAGGTAATGAACTGGCCAGCACAATCCCCAGACCTGAACCCGATAGAAAACCTGTGGGGGGATGTTAAAAGAGCAGTATCTTTGTCTAGACCAGCCAATAAAGAGGAACTCTGGAGAGCAGTTGAAGCAGCTTGGAGAGCTATTCCCTTAGAAAGATGTCGTCATCTAATCGAGTCAATGCCACGAAGATGTAAAGCAGTATTGAAAAATAAGGGTCATGGAACTAAGTATTAGATGTATTTTCAAAAGATGAATAAATAGTTTTTCATCAATGTTATATTTTATTTACTTTTTTAATGGTAAATCTGCATTCATTAAATGTGATAAAAGTACCTTTTTTAAAAAAATGGTAGTATGATATTGTCCATTTAAGTTTAAAAGCTTTTTTTAGACTAAATAGTGTCAGATAACACTTAATTATGAAAAATTAATAATTACGGTCCGAAATTATGCATATCATTAAATTTAATAAGGTTTTTTTATAATTTTTTGTGCCATTGCTATTTTCATGCACATGACTGTATATATATATATAAAACTTACATAATGCCTAATACAGTAATTTTCAAACAGAATGGCTATACAACAAAAAGTATTTTTCTTGGGTGAAATTTTGTATTTCAAATTCTAAAAAAGCAAGCTATAGTTGGTGCAGAACGGATATTAGTATTTCTAACATGAGAGTATCTGCCTCGCATTCTCATTCAACTGGTAAAAAGCATAAGTTTAATGCAAAAGACATATAATGCAGCAGATATATTCTTTACTGCTAGCTTATTAGTTTTTTATAATTTTTTTTTACTTTTATTTAAAAAAAAATGTAGGCAGATTATCATGTTGTTGCAAAATTTACAAGATGCCCATTAAAGTATTCTTTAAAGAAGAATGCTTCATCTTGGTCTCCAAATGCAATGAATAAAAACAAGGAAGTATCCACTTTGAAATTCAAGGGTCTTGCTGAGAGATTAAGCGCATTAAAATGGCTTTGCAGATAATGCAAAACAACAATTTGATAAATTTTTTGGTGCAGAATGTGTTGGATTTAGAGTCTTTGAAATGATTATGAATAAATTTGAGTCCTTTAATGAATTAACTGATTCTGTTGATAAATTTTTTGGTGTCTATTTGCACAAAATGTTCACCATTGTGGAAAGTCTGTGCTATCATTTTTGTTTTATCTCATGGCCAATAGAACAAGGATTTAGTGTTAACAAGCAGTTGTTAGTAGAAAATCTACAAGAAAGATCTCTTGTATCCCAAAGAACCTTTTATAACCACATCGATTCCCATGACATTGTTATTGATCAGAATGAGCTTCCCAGTGATCTTTTAAAAAGCTGAAGGTTAGCATAACATAGGTACAATTCAGTGTTAAAGGAAAATAAGGATCAGTTAAAGGTAGATGAAGTAAGCAAGAAACTTAAATTGATTGATGAAGAATTTGTAATTATAAAGAAACAATATTTTTTTGTGCAAAATGTATCAAAGTTCTTAAAACTGATGTTGACAAGTTAAGCTTTGAAGAAGAAAAACAAAACTTCACTATCCTTAAAAAAGCAAATTCCTTTAGAAACACAATTTTAGAAAAAGAACTAGCAAATAAAGAGCTTGATATTTCACTCAAAAAGTTTGAACAATTTAAGAAAGAGATTAAGTAGAAGTGTTTAATAACCTTTTGTGTATCTGTATATATATAATATAAAATATTTTTTAACTTGCACCATACTATATACGACATATATATATTACAACATATATTTATATTTATATATAAACATATTTTGAAGACAATATATTTTGTTTTTTCTGGTTGAGAAAAGATCAATATATCCTTGAAAAACCCAAAATTATCCTTAAAAAGTCCTAGAAATATCCTGGAGTTTTAAATTAGCTTCTGGCTGGCCGCCCTGTAAGATGATTATAATTTTGTTGTGATACTATCACTAGGATGATTATAATCAGGTTTTATGAGCCCCTCTGACTCGTACACACAATTAAACTATGGATTTTGTAATAGATTTTTTTTTCTTAAGTTACCTATACCATGGGTAAGAAACATCCACCCTAATATAGTATTAGTTTAATATTATGACTAGAACATTTGTATGTCCATATATATATATATATATATATATATATATATATATATATATATATATATATATATATATATATATATATATATATATATATATATATATATATATATATATATAATAATGGTTTTATGATTATTGTTTGTGGTAATAAACGGTTCTTAACAAGGTGTGTACATACATTGACTGACAAATAGGTAGAATGTAAAAAAAGCAAGGAGTGTTTAACAAGCAAGGAATGTAGAACAAATAGGTAGAACGTGCAAAGAGTGCTGTTACATTAAAGGAAATTTTTGGGAAGGCAATCTGTCAATTAAAAAAAAATTATTAATTCTTAATTTTTTAAACTTTTTCTGGTTATTTTTTTAAATTAGCTTTTAATTAAAAAACAATTTTACATTTGTTGGGAAATCTTTCCATAATAACTAAATGGAATTACGATTGTGCTGGCCATTCCATTATTTTTAGTATTTGCTGATTTTAAAAATCTTTTAAATAGCTTTAGCAGATTTTGCTGGTATGTTTCATATCATTATTGTGCTTAAAAACAGATTCAAAAATAATCTCTCACCAGCTAGCAGTTCTTAATGTTCCATAATGTCTTTATAGATTTCTTTTGTCATTGTTTCTTTGATTTTGGGTAGGTTCCCAACATTTTCTTCATTAAAATATCCCCAAACAGTAACAGATCCACCTCCATGTGTAACTGTTGGCAGTAAACATTCTACTGAATATCTTTCTCTTGCATATCTGCATACAAAAACACAACATTTTAAACCAAAAACTTTAAGTTTGGACTTATCAAGAAACGTTTTTTCATTTTTAAATTGACCAATATTAATGTGTTTTAGCCCAATTTAACTTTAGCATTAATTAACTGATTGTACACAGTCCTGTTTTTTTTTGACAGTTTATCTTCTATTTGATAAAGAAATCTTTTTTTGGTGTTTGTTTAGTTCATATTGTTCTCTATGTGGGTTTAAAGATTTTGAAGAAACAGAGAGATGAAAAAATTACAAGTAACTGAATAGGTCTCTAGTTTTTTAAATTATGACAATTTTTTTCTAAAATTTTTTTTAATGTATTAATGTTGTTGATTTAGTTATTAAAAAAACAATAAAGTTTGATGGTAATTTCAGTTGAATTTAATCACATCATATGGTGTAATTAAAACTTATATCACTTGATTTAATTTGATTAACTTTTATTTTTCTAGCGCTTAATAAGTTTTGTTTGTTATTTAAAACTTTTTGAAGTATAGCATTAAATGTGTCCCACATGCTATTTTTGTTGTTTTGTTCTTCTTTAAATTGCTTTTATTTTTAATATTAAAAAACATTTTTAATATTTAAATATAACTCTTAATATATTTAACAACTATAAATTTGTTTTAAAATAAAACAGCATCTTTTATTCATATGTTGATATTATTATTATTTTTTTGTTATATATTTTTCATTACCCTGATTGATAGCAGTTGACTAGTCAACTGCTATCAATCAGGGTATATACCAAAAATTCTACATAAAACCTTTAAAATGATAATAAATATAATATAATTAAAAAACAAAACTTTTAATGTAATATATTTATAATATTCTAATTTATTTTGAATTCAGACACTCTTTCCAGATAAAAAACAAAACCGCAAAGAATAGCGAAAAGGATTTTTTTTTCACAAACCATGTATATATATATATATATATATATATAATATATATATATATATATATATATATATATATATATATATATATATATATACACACTTACCAAAGCGTATTTTTATAAGCATTTGCTCACTTTTTTTGCTTACCTTAACCCATACGGCTTTTTTAGAAAAAGAAGAAAAAGAACAAAGAATGATGAATGAAACGATTGCTGCCCCATCCCAAACCCTCAGTCGATGTAGCAGCACTCCACTGCGAGTCAAGCTATATGTCAGTCGATGTATGTACTAAGCCCCCAGCAGCAGGCTATTTCAGGCTATTTCATGACGTCAAATTGCTTACCTTAGTACGCAATACTATTTGTATATATATATATATATATATATATATATATATATATATATATATATATATATATATATATATATATATATATATATATATATATACGCACATACATACACATACATATATATATGCAGCATTAGATACACTCTGATGACACTATACTGAAATATGGAGCTGCAGAGACTTAATTGAATTACTTTACGGTTGCTCTCATTTATAGGCATTGGCCATGTTTTACACCATTTTAATATGAGGTTATATCGTTTTGCAGGCTAATTGAGTTGTTTTTGTGTTTAATGATTCATTTTTGTGTCATCTTCAAAAAGTTATGCATTATTTTTGATTTGTTATGCCAAGTTGTTTATAAATATTACAAAAAGTAATGGTCTATGAACTGAGCCCTGAGAAACCGCACTGAACTGTTAAGTTTTTTAAACAAAGTGTTGTGTGTGGAACTTGATCCAATGTTTTGCTGAAGTTTTTCAATATTATATCAACTTCGAATTTTATAAAGTAAAATGCTTTTTTAGTTTTTTTGCATTAAATATGCTTTATTTATTCTTTTTTTTTTTTGCATTTAGGTATTCATGTTAACATTAAAAAGTTTGTCAAATGTCACATTTTAAAGGAAGAAAAATTAATGAGCCAAGTTTACATATAGAAAATGTTTATGGTTCTTCACTTACTGGTGTGTAATTAACTATTTTTAATTCTTTTTAAAAACAAGTGTTTTTACTAAATTTACAAAGTTTTTTCCTGGTATCTTTTAGACTCATTTAAAAAATCTTTATTACTTGTGTCATTTTTCAGGATGATTTCTTACTGATATCTTAATCTGCAACCAAGATAATTCCAGTAAACTTAACCAAATACATTTTTATCATTTGCTAAGAAAATGTTATCCTACAGCTATAATTGCTGAAATGGAGTTATCTTGCTTGCATTTTAAGCCATTGTTATTTGCATGTTAGGCCTTTTCTCTCCATTATATATTATTTTAAGCCATTGTTACTTGTATGTTAAGCCTTTCCTCTCCATTATTATTTGCAAAGTTTATAATGTTAGCTAAATTTTTTTTTTTAATTTACTTTGTTTTATTTTGGTAATTGCTTTTTTTCATTTTTTGTTAACAGCTTTAATAGTTTAAATAGTTTTAATAGTTTAAAAAATATATAATAATGATAAAGAACATATAATAATGATAAACTTATAATAACGATAAAGAATTATGAAACATTCTTCCAATTTAAACTATCAATAAATAAAAATATTTGCAAAAAAAAAAAAAAGAAAAGAAAATTGTTAGTATTTATGCTTATAGCCTAATATCTTAAAATGTCAAATTTTAAACAGATAAAGTTTTGGAATCGTTCTTTTTTTCTCGTTAAGTGCATCAAACAGAAAAATATTATTAAACGAAAAGAAAAATACTTTTTTAAAATCTCTATAATTAATAAATAATTGAAAATCAAATCAAAATAAACACTTAAACAAATGAAATTATATGGTTAAGCCCTCCATTTTTCATTGTTTAAAAATAAATGTGACAGTTCAAGCCATGAATAATAACAATAAAAATTTGTCCCAGTAGCCTTAAGTATAGAGATTGTTTTGCTAGCTAAACCAGGTTAGTGGAGACTAGAAAAAAAGTTGATCCAAATATAAAAATTTATGCATTGTATAGATAAGATTGATAGCAAATATTTTATGTATATTATATATTGCATAAATACAAGTTTGCATACAGATGTCAGTTAATTATTTATTTTATAATTTTTATTGTAGCATTAAGTGATGCTTGGGCATCAGTTGCTGAAGCAAAAAAGGAGGTAAGTAAAATAATTTATTTAGTATATTTTGATATAATGTATTTTATAAATGTAAATTTTGTTAGCGTTTGTATATATATGTATATATATATATATATATATATATATATATATATATATATATATATATATATATATATATATATACACATACATATACAGCCCTTGGAATTAGGGTTGACCTAAAAGTGTTTGAGGTCAGCAAAAAATTGTCGACCTCGTTTCTATGTTTTATGGTAAGACCTTTGTATTAAATTTCATTTGCCTACTTGATGCTCTAAAAGGCCTCTGAAAGAATGAGGTCAGCAAATGATTTCCGACCTCAATTCTCCTAGTTCAGAGGGTTGTATGGGCAGGATTAAAAAGTCTTTTTTTTAAAAGAGCAATGACCTATATAAACTAAATTGGAAATTAAAAAAAAAATAAAAGCATTTACATTTGATTACAATTGATTTTATTATTTTTGAAATTTTTATAAAATTTCACTTCTTTTGAGACCCAACATGATATACTTTTAAAGAACTTTTTTAATCAAACTATTAGGGACCTGTTTGATGTTTAAGGGTCTTGAGCGACCCCTAAAAATTTTTTTTATTTAAAGATTTTTTTAAATTTAGTGTTAATTTATTACATAAAACACAATTAGGAGACAATTTCAAAAAAAGTTGTTTTTAGAGGCACTCTAATATATATATATATAAATATATATATATATATATATATATATATATATATATATATATATATATATATATATATATATATATATATATATATATATATATATATATATATATATATATATATATACGCCTAATAAATTTATACTTTGACTGTAAACTTAATGCTGTACTTAATCTTACTGAATTATACTATTATGCAATTATAGATTTGTTAAATAGATAATTATTTGATTTTCTAATTACAATAATGATTTTTAAATCCTGAAAATATATGTAAATGTGTATTCTTCTCCATTCCCCTTGTTCCCTATTTGAGGAGATAAAGGCATATGTCCTCTTTCAGGTGATAAATATATTTTTAAAAATGATGTAAAATGTATATATATAAAAATTTGTAAACTGTATATATATAAAAATTTGTAAACTGTTATAAATCATAAAATATATTTTATTAAATATACGTTCTTTAATATCTATGAGAATTAAATATTTAAATAAATTATTTTATCAATAATTTGTAAAGTTTATATTTGTGAAGTATATATTTTTAAAAGTATGTAAGAAATCAAAACATGGTTTTTATATTTAGCTAAAAAATGTAGATTCTCGTATACGACAGTCAACAGTTCATCCATTGACTTGGCATCCTTACAAAAATGTTAATGATTCTAATGCTGAAGTAAATTGATACTTTTATTATCAACTTTTTGAAAATTATTTTATACTTTTTATTTTATTTAAACAAGTCTTACAGATGACTATTTCTTTTATATTAAAAACATTTACTTTTTATATATTATTTATTTATTTTTTATATTTATATATTTGTATATATGTATTATATATTTGTATATATTATATATTTTATATTATTAGAGTCATTTACTTTTTATATATAAGTCTTAAATATAGGTTATTTACTAAATTTTAAGTCATTGAAAGATTTATTTTATTAAAGATTTCATTAAGAACTAGAAAAAAGATTAAACAAATCTAAAACCTCATGAAATATCAAAAACCTTGTGTAAATATTGAAAACTTTATGGTAATATCTAAAACTTTGTAAAAGTATTAAATATTTTGAAAATATGCTAGCTCTAAAAAATAATATGCTGTCTCCAAAATTATGCAAGTAGTGGAAAAAATGGGTGAATAATTATGAATAATATTTGAATAAATCAAGTTTAAATAAGATAAAGTTTAGTAAAGTTTAGTAAAGTTTAGTAAAGTTTAGTAAAAGTTAATTATCTTTAAAGTTATATATATATATATATATATATATATATATATATATATATATATATATATATATATATATATATATATATATATATATATATACACAAATTAGAAAATGTATTATTATGGTATAATAATAACAATACAAATACTCTTGTGTGTTTAAGAGTGCTCAATACTATTAAATAATAGAGCAATATTTATTTATTTATATTAAATGAATAAAAACAACTTTTGATGGAACTCTGAGTTTTATGCCTTTCGGCAATCTTCAGCCATTGTGCATTTCGTCACTTAAAAACCGTTTAAAAATTACGAATTAAAATTACGGTGGAACGAGTTCTGACGTTACCAAACAAAACAAAACAAAACAAAAAGACGTCAAAGGTTTTAGTCCCCGGTATCAAATAAGGATAGTAAAAATTTTTTTGAATGCCGGCACTTTGATTTTATTTCATATCTTTTATTAAGTTTTCTCCTTTATATGATAATATGTGAAACTTCTCGCGGAGACAAAGATTACAAACTTTTGATGCTTGATTGTAGGGCTTACATTGTGCTATTATCTTCCATGTAATCACAGGATTTATATGTTTCGATTTTAGCTCCCATATTTCTTTAGAAAGTTCAGTGTCATTTTTATATTTGGGTGCATTGAAAGATTTAAGATGGTTGGCATATCTTAATTTAAATGTGGTTTCACTTATACCGAAATAAACTTTATCTTTGCATTGAGGATCACCAGAACTTACAGTGGCTTGGGATACGATATTGCTAAAAAGGCATTGGTTATTTAATGGACAGATATTTTTGTCTATGCAGTTACATTTTTTTGATGTTTTATTTTTATCGCTATGTAAAATTTTGTTATTATGCGTATTTATTAAAGGCTTGACATTAGGCATGCAACTATAGCTTACTTTAACATAGTTTCGATTAAAAATTTTATGAAGCCTGTGTCCTACTGGAAAGTGTTGGTCAATTAAAGCTAAAAAGCGATTTCCAATTTTTGTTTCAATATTTTTGCTAAACGGGGGGTTGTACCATATAATTTTACGTTTGCGATGTCTTTTTTGATTTTTGTTTATTTGTGGTTGGTAGGTGAGTTTTGAATTGTATCCTGATTTACGTAACGCCTCTTCATACGGAATAATTGAGTTATTGAACACAGTTTCATTTACTGCCATATTCGATAATCTTAACTCAATAGTGCGAGGGATTTCTTTTATTATATTAGGTGGATGGTTTGACTCTGAATGAACATACATAAGTTGGTTATTGGGTTTACAATACGGTTGATAAGAACTGTCAATCAGGTTCAATGTTACATCAAGAAAATTGACAATTCTAATATTACATTGGATAGAGATAAGTAGGTTGTTACTTTTAAAAATATGTGTAAAATGCTTTTTGATTTTTTCCATTTGCTGGCCGCTTTTGTTTTCAAAAATAGCAAGCCTGTCGTCACGTTACAAGCCAAAATTATTTTTATCGTAATGTTGAGAGAGCTGAAACAACATAAAAATACCAACTAGTTCACAAACTTCAGCTCCATCAAATGCTCCCATTGTGACATCAAATAATCCACCTCTTTTCTTTATCCAAGCTTCGTCGTTATTAAAAATTAAAGATTTTCTTGCATGATATATTATTTTTTTATCGTCATTTTTTATAATAACATGTTGTTCGGCGAAACTGATTGCGTTGGTAAGAATGTTTTCACTAATAGATGGGTAAAAATCATTTATATCAAAAATTAGAAATTTGCAAAGGTGTTTATTTTTGATTTTTTTAAACCAATCGATAACAAAATGGGTGCTTTGCCATTGATTCAACTGTAGTTTATTTTTTAATTCGTGAATAATTTTAGATAAAATAACTTTACTAATTCTTACTACCTTGTTTTTCGAAGGGTTTAAAAGGCGAACTGAAGGGTTGTTAATAAAATTATCCTTATGGTCTTTTAATGTAAAAAAACAGCCGGACGATCCGTTTATCTCAATATTGTTATACACTTCATGGTGGATTAAAAGGTTTTTTCCTTCCTTAATTATTTGATCTTTTAATTCTGGCATCGACTTTTTGTAGGTAGAAGTAATTGCGTTTGTTAACAGTTTGTTGTATTCATCTTTAGATAATTTATATAAATTAGATGTTTTGTCTGCCTTTATTAATGTTTTATGCGACGTACGTATGGATTTTAAGTCTTTTTGCATATTATTTTGAAACTTACAGTTTACGCTGCAAAATTTTATTGATTTAACTAAGTTTATAAGGTCTTTTTCGAAAGAACGCATTTCATTTATTTGCGGTGGGGATTTTGATGATTTGATTCCGTAGTCTGTATAATTTGAATCATTTCTTGGGTAGTTATTTATGAAAAAGAACGCCTTCCATCTCATTTTCTTTACGAGCATTTCTGTTTTGTTTAGTAGTTTTAATTTATATTCTTTTTCAGATGGAATCGGTATATTTTTGATTGAATATTTCAAGTTTATTTTTTCTATTTTTGTTGACGACTTGAGAAGAGTGCTCAACTTGTAGGAGCAAATTTATACAAATTATTTATACAAACTTGTAGGAGCAAATTTATACAAATTATTTAAACAAACTTGTAGGAGCAAATTTATACAAATTATTTAAACAAACTTGTAGGAGCAAATTTATACAAATTTGTATAAATTTATAATTTATCAAATTATACAGACTACGGAATCAAATCATCAAAATCCCCACCGCAAATAAATGAAATGCGTTCTTTCGAAAAAGACCTTATAAACTTAGTTAAATCAATAAAATTTTGCAGCGTAAACTGTAAGTTTCAAAATAATATGCAAAAAGACTTAAAATCCATACGTACGTCGCATAAAACATTAATAAAGGCAGACAAAACATCTAATTTATATAAATTATCTAAAGATGAATACAACAAACTGTTAACAAACGCAATTACTTCTACCTACAAAAAGTCGATGCCAGAATTAAAAGATCAAATAATTAAGGAAGGAAAAAACCTTTTAATCCACCATGAAGTGTATAACAATATTGAGATAAACGGATCGTCCGGCTGTTTTTTTACATTAAAAGACCATAAGGATAATTTTATTAACAACCCTTCAGTTCGCCTTTTAAACCCTTCGAAAAACAAGGTAGTAAGAATTAGTAAAGTTATTTTATCTAAAATTATTCACGAATTAAAAAATAAACTACAGTTGAATCAATGGCAAAGCACCCATTTTGTTATCGATTGGTTTAAAAAAATCAAAAATAAACACCTTTGCAAATTTCTAATTTTTGATATAAATGATTTTTACCCATCTATTAGTGAAAACATTCTTACCAACGCAATCAGTTTCGCCGAACAACATGTTATTATAAAAAATGACGATAAAAAAATAATATATCATGCAAGAAAATCTTTAATTTTTAATAACGACGAAGCTTGGATAAAGAAAAGAGGTGGATTATTTGATGTCACAATGGGAGCATTTGATGGAGCTGAAGTTTGTGAACTAGTTGGTATTTTTATGTTGTTTCAGCTCTCTCAACATTACGATAAAAATAATTTTGGCTTGTAACGTGACGACAGGCTTGCTATTTTTGAAAACAAAAGCGGCCAGCAAATGGAAAAAATCAAAAAGCATTTTACACATATTTTTAAAAGTAACAACCTACTTATCTCTATCCAATGTAATATTAGAATTGTCAATTTTCTTGATGTAACATTGAACCTGATTGACAGTTCTTATCAACCGTATTGTAAACCCAATAACCAACTTATGTATGTTCATTCAGAGTCAAACCATCCACCTAATATAATAAAAGAAATCCCTCGCACTATTGAGTTAAGATTATCGAATATGGCAGTAAATGAAACTGTGTTCAATAACTCAATTATTCCGTATGAAGAGGCGTTACGTAAATCAGGATACAATTCAAAACTCACCTACCAACCACAAATAAACAAAAATCAAAAAAGACATCGCAAACGTAAAATTATATGGTACAACCCCCCGTTTAGCAAAAATATTGAAACAAAAATTGGAAATCGCTTTTTAGCTTTAATTGACCAACACTTTCCAGTAGGACACAGGCTTCATAAAATTTTTAATCGAAACTATGTTAAAGTAAGCTATAGTTGCATGCCTAATGTCAAGCCTTTAATAAATACGCATAATAACAAAATTTTACATAGCGATAAAAATAAAACATCAAAAAAATGTAACTGCATAGACAAAAATATCTGTCCATTAAATAACCAATGCCTTTTTAGCAATATCGTATCCCAAGCCACTGTAAGTTCTGGTGATCCTCAATGCAAAGATAAAGTTTATTTCGGTATAAGTGAAACCACATTTAAATTAAGATATGCCAACCATCTTAAATCTTTCAATGCACCCAAATATAAAAATGACACTGAACTTTCTAAAGAAATATGGGAGCTAAAATCGAAACATATAAATCCTGTGATTACATGGAAGATAATAGCACAATGTAAGCCCTACAATCAAGCATCAAAAGTTTGTAATCTTTGTCTCCGCGAGAAGTTTCACATATTATCATATAAAGGAGAAAACTTAATAAAAGATATGAAATAAAATCAAAGTGCCGGCATTCAAAAAAATTTTTACTATCCTTATTTGATACCGGGGACTAAAACCTTTGACGTCTTTTTGTTTTGTTTTGTTTTGTTTGGTAACGTCAGAACTCGTTCCACCGTAATTTTAATTCGTAATTTTTAAACGGTTTTTAAGTGACGAAATGCACAATGGCTGAAGATTGCCGAAAGGCATAAAACTCAGAGTTCCATCAAAAGTTGTTTTTATTCATTTAATATAAATAAATAAATATTGCTCTATTATTTAATAGTATTGAGCACTCTTAAACACACAAGAGTATTTGTATTGTTATTATTATACCATAATAATACATTTTCTAATTTGTGTATATATATATATATATATATATTATATATATATATATATATATATATATATATATATATATATATATATATATATATATATATATAAATATATATATATATATAAATATATATATATATACAAATTAGAAAATGTATTTATATATATATATATATATATATATATATATATATATATATATATATATATATATATATATATATATATATATATATATATATATTGAGTTATTGTCAATTATTTAATGAAATTTAAAAATAAAATCTTAAAAAACTAATAGTGTCTAGCGAATGATCATCAAAATAGTGCAAACACTATATCATCAACATAGTGTGTTTTAGTGATCAGCAACATAGTGTAAACTGAGAAACATATTAACTGTGTTAAAAAGTTCATCACAATTTTCTAAATTGATTAAAACTTTGTGTTTTTTTTTATAGAAAACTTATCATAAAGAAAATATTCCACCTGTGAGTTATCCAAAGCCAGCTTGTGTTGAATCATATGGCTCTGGTAAATTTTATTATTTGTTCAATATGTCATGTATAACAAGCCTTCTGAAGAAAGGCTAGTGGTCAGATGCCTTATCTAACCAGGCATATATTATTTTGCTTTAACTACTTGGTCACAACACTCTGCATATTTTAATAATTTGTGTGTTTTAAAAGTGCTATCTAATCTAAAGAGAAAATTAAAAATAAAAAAACAACAAACTGAAGAGAGAAACAAAATCTTAAAGAATAATAAAACAGTTAAAAGATAAACCAGTAAAAGTAAAAGCATAAAATTATTATAAATATTTAATTGATAAGCTACTCAATCAATAGTTCAAACCTTGTGCCTTTTCAAATTTAAAAGTATCAAACCTTTAAAGATAATAATTTTTTTACATAACATCAGTACTGTGTATAGGATGATTTAATGTTCTCTATATGAGGTGGGACTGTTAGTTTGGAATTAGATGTGGGCTCAAATCCTTTTAATGATTTTTATTTTTTTATATTTTTTTAGCTTAATAGACATCAAAGTTGAAGTTGAAGATATCAAAGTTTAAAATTTTAAAACAAAAATGTTTTTGATGCTGATTGCAGCAATTTTAAGAATATTGATGATTACCATATCGTTACTCTAAACATTTATGGAATAAACATAAATTATCATAGGAAAACTTGTTTAAATAAAAATTTGTGAAAATGCATTGCATAACTAACGCAAGTTGTTTATATTTAAGAGGAATATCATCTCTTAGTGGTATACTGGTTTTGAGAGATATACAGGTATGCATACGCACCAGAGTTTCATGGACATTTTATATAACAAATAATAAGAATAAAATTATATGTCTATGAAATACATCTAAAGCAATGTATTTCATTTTTTATGAAAATCATAAAAACAATTTCTGGTATTACTTAAACATAGGCATAAATTGCATTTTTTGCAGTAAACTTGCCCTGTACCAACTTTGCATAAACAATATTTGTTCTTTTTGTTTTGAAATTCAGGCCTATGTCTAATTTTATCAAACTGAGCATCATCAGATAGTAAATGTGTTGGGCATTTCCTTTGTTCAATAGGCAACTCAATTATAGATTTTCTTTTTGAAGGCTGACTAACTGATAATTTTGTATAATGTTTGTTTTTACAAGTGCAAATGCTATGGAAACCGTAAACTGCAATAGACTAAGTTGATATTTTTTAGGTCTTTTTAATTGCTCATAATGAGGCAGATAGATAAGTTAAGCATTCACTTTTGCTATATCGGCCCAATCCAATAAGACGTTGAGGTACCAACTTTTAGTTTTAATTGATATCCTGTATAAAGCTATTAACATATCAGACAAATCAATTCCACCCATTGATTTGTTATATTCTTGAACTACAGTTTGGCGATTAGTTTCAACAAAATGTTTATGTTGTCAATTGCATCGTTTTGCCTTACCAATTGATTGTTGATCACAATAGTAATCATTTGAATGCACCTACTATCATACCATTTAGTAACTGTTAAGCCACTTTTAGCATCAACTTGAAAACTGTGGCTTCTACCAGTTTTTCTAAGATTTTTTTTATCCGGCAATGAACAACCTTTTGTGCGATCTGATCGAAGTGTGGCTGCTCAAAAGATTTGTTCTTTTAAAGAAAGAAACAACGGTATTATCAAAGAAAAATTTAAAATTTTGATTTCTTCGTAGCATTTCGATCAATCTCATTGACTGAGCCAGAATACAAAAAAAAAAAAATAATGCCTGATTATATAGAGCATACAAAGTTTTTAAACCCCCATTTTACAGGTTTTTTGAGGTTGTACTGACAAATACCGCTATATTTTGGTTTAGCAGGAATAATTTGTCAAATCAGTAAACAAAAGTAAATCTTTTTTTCTAAATATTTATTATTTAAAATATTTTTTAATTTCAAAAAAATGTACTAGTACAGAGTATTTTTATATTTAAATAATTAAATTTTAAGCACTATTGTGATCAGTAGTGCTTAAAGTTTAATTAATTAAAGTCAGTGTCAAGAAATGGGTACAGTGCTTAAAGTTTAATTATTTAAATATAAAAATACTTTGTATTAGTGCATTTTTTGGAAATTAAAAAATATTTTAATAAATATTTAGAAAAAAAGATTTTTTTTGTTTACTGATTTGACTATCTTTTACTTTATATTGATTAAAAATCATATATCAAGTCATATATATTTCTTCATCTTTTTTAAAAAATTACTTTATCTTAGCTTTAGACCTCTTTATCTCAGCTGTATTATTATTAAAACTTTACAGTTTTTATAGTTTTACTTTAGTTTTATTTATTGAAATTTTGAGATTCGATCCTATAGATCTGTTGGAAAGTTCTGCCTACACTACTTGTAGTAGACATCCAAGCATAGAGCACCAGAAAACCAGCAATCTACATAATGATCTCGAAGAAAATAATGAAAAATTCAGTGTTTCATTGACTGGAAAATCTTTGTTAACAAAACAATCTAAAAGCGGTAAGGCTTTAAATATATATATATATATATATATATATATATATATATATATATATATATATATATATATATATATATATATATATATATATATATATATATATATATATATATATATATATATATATATATATATATATATATATATATATATATATATATATATAGTATAATTTTTTATTTAGTTATATTTAAAAAAATTTACAAGTAGATTATATTTTTAAATGAGTTTATAAATTTAAATTCCAATTTTAGATTTTATAACAGTATGAGCTTTATTTTTTTATTGACATTAGTTGCATTGAGTCGTTTAAAGGAAAAAATCAATCTTCAAAAACAACAACTTTCATCCTTTGATGACAGTAGTGGTAAGTTTTATATTTTTTATCATTTTCTATCACAAAGGGTATTTTACATAAGAAAATAGTATATATATATATATATATATATATATATATATATATATATATATATATATATATATAATATATATATATATATATATATATATATATATATATATATATATATATATATATATATATATATATATATATATATATATATATATATATATAAATTTTTTAAATATAAAATAGTATAAATAATATAAAATATAAAAATTAATCTTCACTAAAAAAAAATTACTCTATTTTTTTATTTTTATTTTTTATTGCTGCAAAAAATATTGAGTTATAGTGCAGTCAATTGGTGACAAATTTATATGTTTTTGTGCTTTTTGGGGTAAAAGCAGAAAACTTCTAAAATAGCTCCATCTGTCTCCATGGTAACCCGATCATGTCCGCAGTGAAAAAATCTCAAAAAACAGTCATTTATGCATCAATCGAAAGCCCAAAAAAAACACAGCAAAAAATTAAAAACACAATATGTTAAAAATAAATTAGTAATGAGAGGCAAGGCTTTAAAAACTTAAAATCAGGGGGTAAAAGTTAAATATTTTTGTATTTAATTGTTTTTTAATTATAATTATAAAAAATGTTTTTATGACACATATAGTTTAACTTTAATAAAAATTATAAAATAAGTTTTCAGAATAATACTAAGTTATTTTTTTTAATGTTTAATAAATAGTTAAAAATACAATGTTAAAGATCAAAAGTTACCCCCTAAAATTTTAAATAAATTTTAAAAACCCGTCATATTTAAAATTTTTGGTAATTATGAATTTAACGTTCACAATGACCACCACATTTGCAAAGTGCGGTACATGGAAGTAATGCTTTTACACATTTACAAAGACCTCTACAGCCTTTCTCTATTTTGCAGCCACATCGTATAAGTTCACTGCACATTTTGGACACTTCCCGAATTGTCGTCCAAACAATTTTGTAAACATTGTCTTCCATAAGCCAACCCCACTCACATGGATTAGGCAATGATGGATTCTTACATAATGATTGTGCCCAGCAAAATGAAGCCTGGTAAACAGCTCTAGAGATATGCAGTTGCAAATTGTCTTGCGTAGGAGGCATTGCATCTGGTAAACGTCCTTTTTTTGAAAACAAGTCTTTTCTGCATTCATTTGTACTACTGTAAGAACTTGTACGGTCATATAGCAGCACAACAAATCTTTCAATTAAATGGAAAATAATTATGTCTTCCTTTGAGGAACAATTGGAAATTGATTGCAAGGCGTTAGTGAGATCTTCAAAATTTTCCCAAGTTTTCCAGGAAAGTTTTTTCTCTTTTCCAGCAAAAAATGAAACTTGATCGCAACCTGTAATTGCATGAAATGAAGGTAAACATTTTTGTTTTGGACCAAGACATTTTACAAGATCGTGCACTGAAATGAAGCGTTGCTTTTCGCCAGTATTGAACCATATCCATAATTCTTCTAAATGGAGCTTATGAAAAAGTCCTTAACCTAAAATTAGGAAACTATGATCATGTTATTTTAAAAAAAAAAACTATTTTTATTACATCAAATATTTTCTGACTTAAAGATAATGTAAATTAAAAATAAAGTCCACTATTTATAGCAGCGTTATATATGTGAAGAAATATACGAGTGTCCGCTTCTTCATGTTTGCAAGGCTTAAGAATGGATTTGTTGATATTTTGGTTAGATATCACTGAGTCCTCGTGGGTCACAACTATCAATCTATTTGAAGGCAAGATACTTGGACTAAAAGGAACTTAAATAATTCGTTTTTGTTCTGGTCGACGCAAAGAAATGACTGCCAATTACTTGGAATATTTGATTCAGGTAACACACTACGTCTAATACCTTGTCCTCTTTTGACTCTTGCCGATTTTTTAAGGCTGTTTTCTTTGTAAACGTCCCAAATAATATCAACTCTTGCATATGATTGTAACTGTTCAAAAATGAATTTCTGGAATATCTTGGTGGAATAATCTTCGAAAGTTTCACAGTTCTTGGGTGATAAAATATTTACAATTACAGCTCCATCAATAATCAAACATTCAACTATGGGTTTATTTTTAAGTGGGCTGCGCAACAGTCCATCTTTTAAAAGAGACGATGGAAACGTGTAGTTTTCATGAGCAAAAAACTCGTTAAGGTTCTATTCTCGGATCTGTTGTAAATGTACAGTTGCGAAAACAATTGGCAGTTCTTATTAAGCACAGATATTTGCGATTGATCTTTTAACTTCCTTTTTGTATTGACATAACTAAAAAGTGGTAGCTTATTTCTTTTTATTGGATTGAATATAGACTCCTTACACTCTTATTCTAGTTTGGAAAAAATGTTTGAATATTTTTCTCCAAAATTCTCAATTAAATTAACAGTATCTATCACTTCTTTGTCTTTGATAACATGGGTATCAAGTACTAGAAGATCTAGGCTTTCTTCTTTAAATGGATACTCATGTTTGAAATTGCATCAACTAAATTCGTAACTTGATACGCAAACCTATTTTGATGACTTTTATTTTGTTCATGATGTTTGAAACTTGTTTCTACGAAATCATCTTCATCGTTTTCAGCATATGGTAAATTTGATTCAAATTCATTTACTCATCGAGCTAACTCAGGTCCACAAGTCATCCAGCGGAGTAGTTCTCATGAATTTTCCGTCAATCCGATTGCACCTTAATAAAGTTTGAAATATTTTATTTTTAATGCATGGGTTACCCTTATAAATTAAAAAAAATTAAATCAAATTTATATTTTCAATCAATTTTATATTTTCCGATAAGCTGCTTAAATGGAAATTTTTTTGTTATTGTAATAAAAAAAACAACCTCCTTCTCCTTCGACGCATTTGTTATTTTGCTCATGAGCATGGTCTAGTCCAATTGAAGAAAACTTTCTCTTTGTTTTATTAACAATGAACATGCCATTCTGAAATAGTCTTGCAATTTCTGGGTTTGTTTCTTCCAGTTGAATCATATCTGCTAAATGTACGGATAACCAACGCAAGTAATGCGTATGGTCCAGTGCAAAAAACCAAGGTAGCAGTTGTCGAATGCACTGCCTATACAAATCAAAATTTCCAGTTCTTATTGATCGCACAAAAGCTAGTATAAGCAGCTCAAATCTGAGTGTTATTGACCAAAATCTAAATTGGGGATAAACCTGCTCACAATTTTCTCTCCATTCATCAAAAGGTTTTTCACATCTTTCATTTCGAACTACATAGTCTTGGTAAGCTTTTTTCATCAAAATATGAAGAGCAGCAGCAGTTACCTATTACGGAATTATGATTTTTTCTTAGAGCGTGTATACCTCAAAATTTTCTGAACATTAATGTTCAGTAATTGTTTGTATATCACAAAATGAAACTCATTCTTCTTAAAAATGAAAAAAAAAAAAAAACTTTAAAATTTACCTGATGCACACTTATTGTTTTTGATACATGTGATGCATTAAGGTATGATTCAGCTTTCCCTGCTGACAAAATCTCTCCTTCAACTAAAGCAGAACACCTTTCAACCAATCTCCAATTGTTTTGAGAGCCCCCATTTCGATATGAAGTGGCCCCATCATAATTATAAAAGCTTTTTCTCCATAGTATTCTTTCCAATTCCACTGTATCAGTTTAGCCAAGAAATACAATGGGTGGTCAAAAGTAATGACAGGTGTTTGACCTTTATTTAAAAAATCAACAGCTGTCTTGATCACATCCATTCCATGTTTGATCATGGCAGCAGATTTAGAAGATTCACAGAATAATGGCAGCAATGCCGAATGATCAATTGTTTTTACGCCATTAATCTGTGATACATTGAATGCTGACTATGTTATGTTGGAGCTGCTTTCAGTTTTTTCACTTAATAGTGTTACATCTTCATCGTGGAACAACCATCTGAAATAAAAAAAACTGTTTGTATATATCTTTGATTAATATATAAACATATAATATGCATAAGATTAAGTGCAAACAAGTTTTACGTTTTTTCTAAGTCTATTTCGAGTGTAAGTTCCCGAAAGAGGTTGTTCAAACAGACTATATTATTCAAATGGAATAGTTTTCCATTTCGGGTCTTTCATTAACATTCAAAACTGGTCGAATCTCAGTGTATGAATCAGGAAGGTTTAACAACTGTTTGTTTTTTTTTCAGAAAACTCTAAAGTAGAAATTTTAAGATCTGATACAATTTTCTCTGATTTTCAATGCTGAAATAATGATATTCCTGTTCTGTGAAAAGAGTCTTCAGCTGTTGTCAAACTTGGGTTGTGGTCTATATTATCCAAAGCAGCAGTTGTGAAAACATTAGGATTCAAGCGCGGTGGGCAAACTAATTTATTTTCTGCGAAGTAGTTTAAAACTCTATTACCCATTTGTGTTGATAATTCAATTACCAGGTTATAAGATATTGATATCCCTAGTTTATAAAGTTTATCAACAAGTGTCTTTTTGCGAGTTTTCATATGAATTATGCCTACAAAAATACCTAAGGGACTTTCTTAAGATTTTTGTCTTTTTTGAATCTTGGTTTTTTGTTGATTTTGACAAACATGTTTCATACTATTGTGAATTATCAATTGACTGATTGTTACAGTTGTTTGTTCTAAACCTTGACTACATTTATTACTTGTATTCCTGTGTAAAACCGTGTCAATAAATGACTTTAAAGATGCAGAAATGAATGCCATTTGTCAATCTTGTGAAAAATAACCATTGAAGTCATAACTTTGATTTGAGAGAATATCTCGCCGCAAGGTTTTCGCTGCTTCAGATAATATGAAAAATTCGTCTTCATAATTCTTATTATAACAACTCTTCAAAACATTTCCAACATTTTTATCAAGTGTTAAGTAAGAACACTTTTTATCACTATACTTTCTTAGGTTTTCTGATTGCGCCAACAAACTTTGCTTTAATTTTGTTGTAAGGATCCTTTCAGAAGTGTTTCTGCCAAGTTTGGTAACCCTTTTTTGATATATTATAGCGAGGTCAACTAATTTAAAAACACGGTTATCTTTATCCTTTGCTTTTTGAATCATATACTGTTTCAATTCAGCAAGAACATGGAAATTGATTTGTTTATCAGAATTATCGCATGAAATTTTATCGGACTCTTTTCTATTAGATCTTCTATAGAGACTTAGCAGACAAGTAGAGTAATACCTAGCATTTTGGGCTATCATGTCACCAGCACTAAGCTTACCTAACAAAGTACTATCTTCAAGGATAGTGGCGCACTTTTTTAACACGTTTTTCTAATTCAAATGTTGAAACCCGATGAAGTGCACCGTCAGAGCTTTCACAAAAAAAACATTTCAAAATGGTTTCACAAGCTGCTCTTAAAGAAGCTTTTTTTATTTGGTAGCTTAATTAGCAAATTAAACTCTCGGTGGTCTTCACCTGACAAAACAAACACAAGTTCCAGTCAATTAACCAAAATTTAAATAAATCTTCACTTAAACATCTTTTAGCCATTTTTAGTTGCTATATTTTTTTATTTTAAATTATATGATCTATAAAGTTTACTCGAAAACTCATTTAAATGATACACAAAATATACCATTTAAAAAAATCGCTTTTTTTTTCTTCCATTTCTTACAAGTTTTTTTAACAACTGGCTGAATTCTTAATTTAGTATGTGCACAAAAGTATTTTGTAACAAATTAAAGCAAAAAAAAAAATCATGCAAACCACCTACAATCATCCCCATGGGATTGATAAAACATTTATATTAAAAATGAATATCTCCTTTCGTATTCCAAACGTGTAATTAAGGAGTTATTCAATTTTTAATAATTTCAGGGGAGAAGTTATATGAGTTTGATTATCTTATCAAAGTGTTTTTTTATAAAAAAAAATTAAAAAAAAAATTTATTTTATATTTTAAATGAAACTTTTTCAGAATTTTGTATATTGGCTTTTTTTTTTAATGTTTATTTTTAACTTTGTTTTGCACGTAATACTTTATATCTACTTTACCCCCTGGATTAATAGTTATTTAAAGTCCTCTAACTTGTTATCAGGTAATTTTCTTAATATAGTGTTTTTATATTTTTTGCTTCATTTTTATTGAGCTTTTGATTGGTGTATAAATTATTAGGTTTTGAAAAAATAAAATTTTGTTGCTATGGACAGGTGCTAGTGTGGAGACCATCTATGGTCATTTTGAAAGTGGTTCTGAGTCTTAAAATAAATGTTTTAACCTTTTCAACATGTCCACCAAGTTTCATGCTTTTAACCTAAACAGCACAAAGTTTGCACCAATTGACTGTACTATTAGTTCATTTAGTTAGATTGACTTGGTTTCTTTTAATCATGATTTTATGGCTAGCATTTAAAGTTTGGTTTTGCCTGGTATTGATTTTTAATTCTAATTGAAATAGAAGTTCTAATGGAATATTTTATGTTTTTTAAAAGTGGGTTTTATAGTTTTTATAAAATCATTAAATTGAAATTTAATTTTGAAAAAATGTTTAGAGTTTCTTTTATTATTATTTATAGTTTATTTACTCAAAGAATTATGATTATCTAAACAAGATGAATATTTTTCAGTTTTAAAAAACAAAAAAATACTTTATTAAGCTTTAATTTTACTTTTTTATTGCACTATTTATTGTAGTCTTTTTAATATTTTAATTTTATTATGTACTTATTTAGTTTATATATTTCATAATATTTCTGAATTCATAAACTCCTTCTTTTATTTTTTCTAATTTTATTTGTATGCTTCATTTTGTGTGTATTTTAAAAGTTGTATTCACCCACATTACACCTGTATAGTTGTAGCCAAATTAAGTAGGCATGTATACCTACAGCTAAACTGTATATACATGCATACATTTATACAAGTCATAAACTTCTCTTTTAATTTTTTTATTTATTTACATGTTTCATTTTGTGTGTATCTTCAAGGTTGTATTTATCTAGGTACATACATACATACATACATACATACATACATACATACATACATACATACATACATACATACATACATACATACATGCATATATACATAAATTATAGGAGAAATTTATTTCATTTAATAACCTTTAAAGTATTAAAATAATTTTCTTTCATAATATTAAAATGTTATAGGAAAAAAATGCGTTAAATTTTTGAACTTAAAAAATGTAGTAAGTTTTTGAACTTAATGTACGCATTATTAAATGTATTAATTCAAAGGATATATTTTTTTTTAGAAAAGTATTTTCCTAATAAACTATATCACAATGAAGGTGAAGCTGTGAAACGGTCAGAAGAACCAGAGACCCTGAAGATTATTACTCGTAAAGTTGGACAGGCTCCATCTGCCCCTGTATATCCAGGATTTAATGAACCTTCAAGTATTAATGTTATAGATGAAATAAAAAAAAGTTCTGTTAGTGGGAATGAAGCCAGAAAAAAGACTCAAAAAGAAATTGTTAAAAAACTCTCCCCAAAAAATCAAGTCAAAGCAAAATGCAAAGGTGAGAATATATATATATATATATATATATATATATATATATATATATATATATATATATATATATATATATATATATATATATATATAAAAAAAACCCTAAATAATCATTTTTTTATAAAATGATCAATTTTTTTTATTTTTTATATAGTTTCGCTTCTTTTGAGACCCAACATGATATACTTTTGAAAATTTTTGAAAATTAGGGACCCGTCTAATGTTTAAGGGTATTAAGCTACTCCTAAAAATATATATATTTTTAAATTTTTAATAATAGTATTATTTTATCAAATAGAACATAATCAGAGGGTGAGAGCAGACATTTTTAAAAAAGGTTGTCACCCTAATATATATATATATATATATATATATATATATATATATATATATATATATATATATATATATATATATATATATATATATATATATATACATATATATATATACATATATATATATACATATATATATATATATACATATATATATATATATATATATATATATATATATATATATATATATATATATATATATATATATATATATATATACATACATATATATATATATATATATATATATATATATATATATATATATATATATATATATATATATATATATATATATATATATATATATATGTAATTATGTATGTATAAAATGTATGTATGTATTTATGTAATGAATATATTGTATACATTGAATTTTAAATATTTTGACAATGGTACTTTAATAACAAGTAGGAGACCAATAAATCGTTTAAAAAGACTTTTTTAATTAAACTTTGGATAAACGAGTTAAATAGTTGTAAAGATAAGATAATAGCTTTTTTTTTTTGTGCGTATTTTTTTTTTTTTTTTTTTTTGAGTTTCTTTACTCTTGTATGAACTCATTAAACTTGAACATGATAATTTTTTTTCAACATTTGCATATATTTTGCCTGCTTTTTAACATAATAATAATTTAACTTATAACATATTATATAACAATAGTATGGAATAGTTATTGTTGATTGAAAAAACTGTTTGATTTTAATTATTTTTTACATATAAATCAAGTATATTTTTTAAATTTAAACTTGAAGTTGGCCATCCATGTTGAAATTACATTTTGTGAAAGTTTTTAAAGAATGATTAGATAAATAACACCAATATGTTTAAAAATTTTTTAACCAAAATTATTTACTTTGAGCGAAGTTTATTTTTTCCACATAAACTGACTTACACAGGTGTGGAGTTATGTGCAAGCTATAGCCTGCCTCTATATAGCTATATTCCGAAGCCTGTATATATATGGAAATGTCTACATCAGAAATATTTGTAATATGTCTACATCAGAAATTTTGTGCATTGATAATGTGTATATAAGCATATTTTTTACAAATGGAAATGTTTGTATAGGAAAATTTATGTGTAATATAAATGTAATGAAAATATTTTGTTTAGGAAAGCCACATCGAATAATTGCTCCTAAAAAGTCTACTAATACAATTACTACAATGTCATGGAGATTGGGTCAAGAAATTCAGCGTAAAATTTGTCAGGAGTTTCATTCAGTTAAAGATAGTCAAACTAATTGTGAACTAACCAATACTATGAAATCTGCATCAATAACTCACAATGCTGCAAAATCTGATTCTGCAACTAATAATACCTTAAAGTCTGATTCTAGAACTAATAATACTGCAAAATCTAATTCTATAACTAACAGTACTTCGAAATCTGATTCTAATAATACTGCAAAATCTAATTCTATAACTAACAGTACTTCGAAATCTGATACTGTAACTCACAACGAATCACCAAAGAGTCACGAAGATCATGGTAAGAGTATGCTTTTTTCTATTTCTTTTTAGCATCTATATGTATGATTTAGAGAGGTTTCTACATTTTTTTATTTCAATGTAACATGAAAAAATTAAAGCATTTTTTTACAATTGCCTTCATTTATTCAATGGTTGCTTTACTGGTGTTCATCTGTTTTGCAAATCAAGACTGAGTGTTTTTAGTATGATAATACTACTTATCATCTAAGCTTTATGATGTTCTCCTACCTTTACCTACAATTAAATTGGAGGTTTTACATCAGAGCTTTTCAATTTCTAGATAAATATCATAGCAATAGTCTCATCTTATATAACAATTGGTCAACGCATTACATTTTTTAAAAATATTTCACCACAAGGTTTTTTTTTTTAAAACAATGTTTATTATCTTTTTTATCATAACTGTTTTGTTATAACAATATTTTTCATCTTATTATTAAAAATTTTTGTTATCCATTAAAATCTTAATTATTTATAAATAAATTGTTAGTTGATTAAATTGGTTTGAGCATTTTTTTAATTTAGTAATAATTATCTAACTTGTTTGTGTCATTTTATGATAGTTTTGAAATTGTTGCTAATTATTGTGAACGGAGTGAATCTTTTAAATAGAAAATTTCCGAAAAAAATAACTAATGTAAGCTGTTAACTAGTAGCTAATGTGAAAATTAATGTGTTCAAGTTTTTATTCAATAAAATTTTTTTTTAATTTACTATACTAAGACAAAATTTTAATATTTATAGTGATATTTTCTTATGTTACCTATGATGTGGCTGTGTCATTATATATCATTGTGCATTCCTATTGCCTCATTCTCTCAATTACAGATTTAAAAGGATCAGAAATCATTCATAAAAGTGAACTAATACATGTAAAAAAAAATCAACTACTTATAAAAAATTCTCTACATAACCTCTAATTCATGTATCTACATTGAAGTTATGCAGTCAATGTATATACACATGTTCTGTTTGTTTTACCTCAAGCTATGAAAAAACTTTTTTTTCATAGCTCTTAAACAACAAGAAATTTAATTTTTCAAATTTAGAATCTGCCACTGAGTTCCTCTCTAGTAAAAAAAAAGTGCAAATAACATAATTTTAGACAACCCTTGGTGTTTATTATAAATGGAGCATGTTTAGCTCTAATTACAATAGTTTTTTGAAATAGATCTTTTACTCCAGTAAAATAAAAGTATTTTAACTTATGCTAAAGTTGGGTTAAGTAAAACTGACACATTTTGAATGAAAAAATATTGAAATGAGCTACAAAGTTGATTTTTATTTTTATTGAATGCTTATTAAGGTCTAGAACAAAAAAATAAAAAATAATATTAAAAAAAATTTCTTCAATATTAAAAAATTTTCTAATTTTTCTCTTGATGGGAGTCATAAGATTTTGAACTTTGTGGTAATTTTATCCCACTTCTTTTTAAAGTCAGTACTTGATTTTGCTTGTTTAAATTACTTCAATGATTTGGCTTTAATAATCGCACAATATCGATCAATTGGACAAAGTTTGGGACAATTTGCAGGATTGTGTTAGGTATGAAATTGATACTATTAGCACTGTAGAAGTTTAACGTAGATTTGGAATAATGATAAAACACTAGGTCAGGCCAAAAGATTGAAAACACTAAGTTTCGAACCTTAATGTGAAAATCCACATTGACATATGGCTTGCCCAACCATAATTTTTTGGGTGAATTTTTTTAGTTGTATTATTTTAAATTTAGCATTTACCTTTTTCCTGAAGACTCCTATATAAAAAAGATATCCTGGAATCGTTTTGAATTTTAGTTTCATGTAAGTTTTATCATCCATAGTTATACATTTTTTTTTATTCACAATAATTTGTATAATTTTCCTGCACGACTTCTTGCCACTATATTTTCTTCAGCATTGCGATCTAGGGCTTTTTACATCTTGAAGGACTTGATTTTATGTTTTTTCTTGATAGTCCAATCAATTTGTCTGCTAGTTTTGCATTTTAGTGCCAAATCTCACTAAGAAATGTTGAGAAATGATTTGCCTTTATTTTTACCAAAACATTTATCTTCATATTTTTGTTAATGTTCAAGTTGTTGCCATTTCCAGCTTTTCTATTTATTGTATTAAGCATCAAATACTTATTTAAAGTTATAACCAGGGTGCTTTCTGAACATTTAACTGTTTTTACAATCGATTTGAGAGGCAAATAAAGATTTTTCACTCAAGCATGCAAAATTACATCATGCACTTGTTGCTTTGTAGTTTTCATTTTAAATAATAATAAAATTTTTAACAAAAAAAATATTTTAACTGAAATAATGCATAGTTTTTCTATATGATAACATTCTGTATGATTTTTTTAGTGTAAGAAATAAAAAGTGTCAATTTTACTTAACCCAACCTTTATTTATGCAATCTAACAGCGAAGAGTTTCAGAAACATTCTTAAAAAGGGTAAGAGCAATCCAAAAGATTGTTTTAATAAATCAAAAAAAATGATGATACAACAATGTATTTTATTTTTTTATTAAGAATTGTTGAAGTTGTTGTAAACATTGTTGTAGTTGTTGTATACATTGTTGTAGTTGTTGTATACATTGTTGTAGTTGTTGTATACATTGTTGTATTATTAGTAGAGCCACTTTAGATAAAAGGTTGTCAGGAGATTATTAGTAAATGTAAAAAGGGACATGGAACCAAAGATGATGCTTTGTGGTACTCCAGGAATTACTGGAAGTGAAGAAGAATGTTGCCCATAAAATAGTTCAAAATTTCAAACGCCTTTGCTAATAATAGAAAAATTGATTACAAAATAGACGAAAAGGTCTGAGTTGTTTCTAAACAAAACTGGAAACACAGACACCTTTTTCCATCAGGTAGGAAAAAAGATTTAGTTAAGCACTTTGTAAGTAGTTTAATGAAGTTTTGAAAACAATTTTTCTGTAAAACTGTACAAGAGTTTAACTGAGAAAAATTGAGACAACGTAAGCCAAAGTGATTAAATTGAGACAATGTAAGCCTAAGTGATTAAATTGTCTAAAAGTGACTTGTTTGTAATGTGTCTGGTAAAGAGCAAGTAGATTTAGTAAATTAAAAAAAAATTATTTGGCATCAAACTTAATTATTTCTAATCTTTTTATTTTTATTTTTTTTAAAACCACACATATTTGTATAGATTAAAACAATTTGGTAGTGACAATAGTTAATAATTTTAATTATTTGAGGTAAGTTTTTACTCAAACATATATGGTACTTAGAACTCTAAGCAATAAGCCAAGCATTTATTCCTAGTACTAAATCTAAACTCATAACTCAGGCCTCTATATTGACGAGCATTTGAGTGGTCATTGGTCTAATTTACACACACTGTTGCAACTAAATTCTTGATTCAAAAGAGATCTGTTTAGTTAATTCTTTTGTGTCATTCCCACAAATTATTATCTTTAAAGTTTTAGCTACAACTTTTTAAAATAAATTAAATTATGCATTTAGGTTGCAATATTATTAACTTTGGAAAATATATATTATATAATATGCATTACACAACAAATAGAGGATTATATTATGTAATATACATTACACAATAAATAGAGGATTATATTATGTAATATACAGAGGTGGAAAAAGTAAAAAAAAATTGTACTCAAGTAAAAGTACTGTTACTTGAGTGAAATTTTACTTAAGTACAAGTAAAAGTTACCGGTCAAAAAGTTTACTCAAGTAAAAGTAAAAAGTAGCTTACTAAAAATGTACTCACGTTACATTAACTTGAGTAAATGTAATTTGTTACTTTCCACCTCTGGTATTATATATTACACAATAGAGAGTTATTTAAAAGAACCTAATATATAATGTATATTATAAAATAGAGGGCTATATAAATGATATTTGTTAATATTATATAATAAAGAATACTATATTTATGTTGAATTGAAGTTTTTTGTAGTTAGTTTTTCAAATAATTTTTATATAATTTTTTTTTTAATATTTTATTATTATTTCTGAATACAATTGGTATATATATATAAGTATATTTATATAACTAAATGTATAAGAAAGACCTTACATATAGTTGTAGTATATATATATATATTATAGTAACATATACCTAACATATAGTTGTAGTATAAATGTTATAGTTTTTTTAAATTTTTTTTATTTCACTTTACCTCCCCAAGGCCGAGATGGCCACTACAGTTGAGGAGGCTATTTTAGTTGTGGTTACAACCCTCTCTCAACTCTATAACTCTAAAATAAGCATCTTGACGAACATGACTGCTGTGCAAAGAAACAAGTTGAGTGCAGTACTACCAGGGACATGGTGGAAATCAAACTCGGACTTCTTGCTTATGAGACGAGCGCTCTACCACTACATCACTACTTCATATAGTTGTATATAGTATAAGTGAATTGTTGTATAATAGTACTATAACTAATGTTATTTGTAGTACTGTGACATAAATACTGTTTTTGCCTGTATTGGTTTAAAAAATGATTTTAAATTTAATTTTTTTTTGAAGCCACAGTTGATAACATTTACGATATCTTATTTGCATAAGAAAGGTCATTCATTATCAAATTCCAAGTGTAAAATATGTGTGGTGGTTTGGGAAATTTTCCCTGCACAAGCATTTGGTTCATAGGTTGAGCTCATAGGAAATATGAGTGCTTGTATTTACAAGGATTTTTTAGAAAACATTTTGTTATTAGATGTTGAAAAAACAGCACAACAGAATTGGATATTTAAGCAAGACTATGACCCCATACACACATCTAAGTTGTTAAAACAGTTGTTTTTGGTTTTAAATGTGAGTTTTTTAAGATCTCTTCATCAGATCTCTTTTCTGTGAAAGCTTGCAGTGAAGTTGTGAAAGCTTGGAGCAGTGATTTGTGAATTTTAACTCCAATGAAACTCAGTTAATTAATGAAAACAAATATTTCAATATTGTTAATATTCCTATATTGATAAATGGCTCTCAATGATTCCTCTTTTTTATACCTTCTTGGATTATGGTTTACTGACTGACCTTTCTTGGAAACCATATATACAATCGATTACTAAATTAGCATCTGCTAAGGTTGCCTCTCTTTATCCTGCTTGCCATCCCTGCTTACACTAATCTGTCTCTTAAGGCTCTAAAAATTTTAATTCATCTAGTTTTTTTTCTTGCACATCAATTCTTTCTTCAGTTGCAATTTTCAGCTTTCTCTCATCTTCGTGTTTTTCTGACTCACACAATTTTGTTAAGTCTTTTGTTAACTGTTTTCTTGCTCTTTAACAGTATTTTTTTGTTTCTGGTGACTTCTTAAATAGTGGTTGCTTAGATATGGTTGCTTAGAATCTTGTTGGTTAATTAGTTAAATAAAAAGTTAATATTTATGTTCTACAATATTGAGTATCGATATATATATCATAAATGAAAATCCTTATAAATAATTTTATAATTCATTTTTATTTTAATTATTCAAGTTTTTATTTAGATAGTTCTGCTATTTCAAATGAAATAATAACTGATCAAAATAATGAAAAAGGAGATAAGGAAGAAAATGTTATTAGTAATAATGATGGAGATATTACATTAAAAGAACAATCTATAGACAGTGATGTGGAAGGTGGTGAATTAGAAAAAGACATAAATCATTTACTTGAAAGCAAGTTGTTAACAAAAAATGCAAAAGAAATTTTACAGAATGTTAACCCTTTTGAAAAAGGTGTTTATATTTTTATTATAGTTTTTGTTTTTTATTATTTTCTTTCTTTACAATAATAATATTTAATTCGTAAAAGTAGTTCAATATTATTTCTACTTTAAAAGTTTAATAAAATATAAAATCAGAATTTTTTAATGTAACACAGTTACAGTTTTACACCAATCAGAATTTTTTAATATAAATCATTAAAAGTTCTACACCAATCAGGAATTTATAATGATAAGAAATTTATAATAAATTTATAATCAGTTAAAGTTCTACACCAGCATAAATTCACAATTATTACAGTTTTACACCTATCAGAATTTTATGTTTTAATTTTATTAAGGATTGTATGTTCTACATCAAAACTTTATAGTGAAACTATAAAAAATATTTTTTAGATTTTTTAGCGATTAGTTTAATTATTTTCTAAATTAGTTTTAAGTTTATTTATTAAATTATTTTCTAGTGATTAAATTCATAATGAAACTAATACTGAAAGTAAACTTGTTTTTTTTTTTTGTCATTTTCTCTTATTCAGTTTAAATTTTTTTTATAATTTTAGATGTGAGCATACCATTTAAAAAGAAACAGATTACTGCTACTATAGATACTGGATTAAAAAAAAGGCTACTTGCTAAATCCCCACCAGTTAAAAGGAAGCTAGGTAATGAATTAGTAATAGTTGGTTTTTTTGTTTTTGATTTATTATTAAATTAGTGTTTTTTAAAGTTTAGTTTCAGTAAAAAATAATAACTCTTTTTAAGTATTAGGTATTTAAAATGAAACAAATGTATGTGGGGCTGATAAGTTAATGTTTATGGGACTGATAAGTTAATGTATATGGGACTGATAAGTTAATGCATATAGGACTGATAAGTTAATGCATATAGGACTGATAGGTTAATGCATATAGGACTAATAAGTTAATGCATATATTACTGATAAGTTAAATTCATTTTAAACTCAAGGCGCTAATTGTTTTTATTAAATTTGAAATTTTTTAAAAAGCAATTTAAAAAAAATATTCGTAACTGTGTGACACATTTGTTAAAAAGTGCAATCAGTACACAAACTTAATTAACATTAAACAAGATAAGTGATGACTATATTAGTAGTCATTAGCTGACTAATGACTACTAATATACAACACGCTAATTCAAACTAACATAAAGGTAAATTGACATAGGTACAAACCAATAAAAGCATGACATTTTAGTTTTTTACTAAAATTAGTATGACTGGGTACAAAAATAATCTAGACATAAAATTACTAAATCTAATTTTATAAAGAAATGGTAATTTTTATTATTATAATATTGTAATTTTTAATTTCTATTTTCAGCCAATTGTTACCTTTATTAAAAAAAAATTTGTATTTAGTAATTGGTTTCATGTTTAGAAAGCTTTCATAGTTGCTTCTAAATCCATTTTTTAATGTTGTTTTTCAATAATGAAAATTATGACAAATATTATAATTATTAATGCCTTGCATGACCTATGACCTAATATATTATTTATATATGAAAATTCTTTTTGATGTGACTTTTATTAAATTATTTGTTACAGAAGACGAAAATTACCCTAAAACAAAAGTAAGACATTACGACCAAGAAGAAGTTAAGGTAATTTTTTCCTTCAATATTTTTAAAGTTTATAATATTCTCAGACAGTAATACATATTAAACATTTTTACAAGACATTGATGAGACATTAAAGATAGGACCAATTTTTTATAAGACATTGATGAGATAAATTCAAGATATTCCCTAGGAAGATTTACATGACATTTTATTTAATAGCTTTCTATCCTAATATTTTATCTAACAAGCTAAGATACTTTAGGATTCATCTAGCCATGAAGCCAAACTTGTAATAGATATTTTGCATCATTATGGTTTTGAAATAGACACCACCAGTCAGGGCTAGAAATATTGTGAGGCACTTGTCCAGTTAAAAAACATCATATTCTAGTCATTTTGTCCAACTTACATTGTGTTATTTTGTTGAGCTAATTCTTTTTTTAAAAGATATAAAAGTGTTCAATTTGTTTGAATTAAGCAGTTTTTGTCATATAAATGTATTTATATTAAAATATTACAATGAATTATTATTAATTTAAAGTTAATGTTTTGGTAAATATTTAAATTTTTGTTTACTGATTTTTATAAATTTCAGCAAATATTTAGGTTTTAAAACTTCTTTTAAATTTATTTTATAAAAATTTTAATGTAATAGTTATTTTAATAGAAGCTAGTACTTTTTAATACGCTTTTAAATTTAGGTTATGTTATGTATCTGTTTTTTTTGCACTAAAGTTTTTTAATAAAAGTTGTTTATTAAATTAATCATAGAAAAAGTTTGAAAAGATTTATCGTAAAAAATAAATGTTTTTATAAATGAAGTCATGTACAATATTCTTTAATAATTTAAATAAAATGTAAACAAACATTAAAAGTAGTATGTTACTTTATTTAACCCTTTGAACGCGGCCCCCTAAAATATTGACTTTTTTAATTTAAAAATGATACCACAGAATAGTGAATAATTTTATCTTTCTTTTGATATATTATTTATATATGTTTTGATGTGAAAATAAGTGATTTATATTAATCATTTTTGATTTTTTTAGTTGAATTTTTCTAAATATCTTTTAATTTTATAAGGGTTAATAAAGTAATAAGTGAACATATTTTACATACAGAGTGATAAGTGAGCATACTTTAGATACAGAGTGATAAGTAAACATACTTTACATACAAAATAATAAGTAAACTTACTTAACAAAGCATTTTGCATAGTTTTTTTGAAATTTTCAAAAAACCTTATAAAATACTTTATATTACATTTAAAAAAATGTAATACAAAAAATAATTTCCTTTTCAAATCATAGTTTTTTAAGTTTAGTTTTTTTCATTTTTTCTTTCTTTAAGATTTCCTTTTTTAAAGATTTTTTTTTTAGTATATTATTAAAAACACTTAAGTTATCAAAACATGCAAACTGCCGTGGTCGAGTTAAAACAAAATATTATGTGTGGTCAGGAAAGGCATGCATTTGCACACCTATCCTCGAAGTAAATCAATTTGTTAGGTTTTGTCCGACATGTCTGCCAAACTTAAGTTTTTATCAGACAAATTGTTTGGGAAAAAAAAAAAATTATTATTTCGAGCCACCAGTTTTTTTCCACCAGTTGGTATAGTTACCAGTTAACTACTTGAATTTCTTGTCTCTAGAGTTAGCTTAATGGCTTTATTTTATAGTCCAGGTTAATTTTTATTCCAGGTTGAATGCTGCTTTATTTTAAAATCCTGTCTTGTTGCACATTCAGTGTTTTATGACTTATGCTAGCTTCAATAAATTAAAGTCATTTTACTGTCAATGAATTAAATCCAACATTTGGTTAAAAGCTTTGACTATAACCCTTTTTACACAATTTTTTTATAAACATCTGTGTCATAAATGTTTATGCTGAAAGGTACATTTTATACAAAAGTTTATAAACTCTTAGTATTATGCAAATCAGTGATAAAATGTTTTACTTGTTGTTTGATAAAATCAAGAAAAAGATTTCAAAGATTATTTATCAGAAAGATCTTGTTAAGTTGAAGTAAATGTTGGTATTGAAATTTCATTATTTGAAAACTTTCTAACACTTAGGGAAATATACAACAAAAAATACCCTAAATTTTTCTATATTTTTTCATTTATATTAAATTAAATTGACAAGTTTAAATAAAGTTACAAATATTGACTTATTTACCTTTAGCTTTTAGCATAGTCATAATAACCGATATCCAGCCAGTTGGGCCGTTTTCGCAAGATTCTATTGCTTTCAAACAACCTTAGTTAAAATTTTGAATTTATGTTGAAAACTGTTTCTTTATCCTGCCCAGGCTACTAATAAGTTCACAAAAATCTAAAAAAATGGCAAAATCAGTAGACAAACAATCCGTTGATTATCTCATATTTGAGTTAGAGTCAGATAAGTTCCTTAGTGATGTTGATGCTCTTCTTAGTGAAATTGAAAATGGAATTTCTTTAATCAGTTTTAATTGCCAGCAGTGTGTTAAAAAATGTGAGTCAGAGAAAGGACTCAAGCTTTTACCAATAAATCCAACAACAAATGTTAAACAAACTTGTTCTGTAGATGAGTTCAAAAATTTTATTATAAAAAGCATTAACATTCTTAAAAACGATTTTTGCTACTCCACATATTAGAGATGAACTTTCAAAATACATATTCTCAGAAGATGATGCAAAGCATTCATTCGGCTTGATAAAAGATATTATTGAAAATTTTAATGGTGACGCCGAAGTTTTTTATCCAAAGTTTTACAAAGTTGCTGGTCAAAAATCATTTTTAAAAAATTTTACAGACAAAACCTCAACTCTTGTAGGATATGATCTTGCTAACCATATTTTGGCTCACTTAACGAAGTCTAAAAACGCAGCCTCAATTTTAGTTTTTGACAATGCAATTCAGTTTACAGAAAAAGAAAAAAAATTAATTGAATATTTGGGAGGATATGTATTTAGTACCTTTTATCGAAGGATATGTTATTCAAAAGTTTGGCAGAGTAGATTTGGTCAAGAAACACTTTAAATTTTGTTGGCTGGAAAAATTGTAGAAAATGAATTTGAAGAGTATCATGAAACTAATAGAAAATTTATTAGTTTTAAAAATAGAGGTGGTCTTTGGTCTATATCATCTGATGCTTTTTCACTATTTAGAATAGCAGAAGTAGCATTCAGAAATTCTACAAAAATTTTGAGTAAAAATATTGACTGCAGCAAGATGACAATAGAATTGCTTCAAGACGTTGAGGTTTTATCTTACTTTTCAAAAATTTGTTATGGTAACAATATTGTGTTCGTTCGTTTTCCTATTTCGAAAAGCTTGTAAACATGCATAAAATCAAGACTAAGAAGAAAAGAACAAATTCGTTAAGAAAAGAAATCAAAAAAGTATCTTTAACCTCTACTGAATAAAGATTAGACATTTAAAAAAGGTTATTTTCATAGCCACAAATTTTGTTAAAAACATATCTGCATATGAACAATATTGCAGCACAATGAAGAGATGCATTAAGTAATTAAGTGAAAACCAAACACAATTATGTAAGTTTTTTTTAAGTAATAATATCAAATAATGTAATCAATATGTTCACTTATGTTTTATTTAAATAATTAAGAATAAGTATATATATATATATATATATATATATATATATATATATATATATATATATATACACATTTTTATGAGAGATCCCTTCCTATTCACACCCTGTTAAAAACAACAACAATTAAAATATTTTATACCAAATAAAGCCTTTATAATGTTTGTGGCTATGAAAATAGCCGTTTTTAATTTCCTTTTTTTGACGACCTTATTTTTGGTTCCAATTTCGGAGTGGTAATTTTTCTTTGATAAAAGTCTTTGGTTCAGGATCATTATTAAGACTATTAGTTCCTACTATTGGTTTGAAGGTACATTGGTTTCTTATTGTATTGTTGATGGGTTATCTTTTCTTCTTCTAATAGCTCGCTGTTGGCCAAAATAGTTTTCTAATGAATTTTGACAAAGCCGTTCAGTTAAAATATATTGGACACCAATATTTAAAAGATATTTAACTAAATCAACAACTGAATGGACAGTGATATTGATACCTTCATATGTTTGCCAAGATAAAAACATATTCCCTCTAAGGGGAATAATTGAATAGCTTGAATATTTGTTGTAGCAAAGTTTGCAAAACTATATTTAAAAGGGTTTACAATACCTTATACAAGGAAAACAAGAACATGTGTTGCAATTTCATCAGCATTATTCAGAGTTGCATAGTTAATATTAGTATCATCAAGGTCAACAAATCCTATAAGATCGCCAGAATATTTATCCCATACCAAATTTTCTTGAATTTTCATTTCATCTAATAAAAGTGTAATAAACCGTTCTTTATCAGAAAAATCCTTCACCTTTAAACTTAGTTCATTTACAATTTCATAGTTAAAACCTATTTGTGGTCAGATATAGTTTTTGTAGTCTCTTAAACGCCTTTGACTTGGTAAAATGACAAAACCAGAATTAGTTTTTTCATTGAAACGAATTTTCTCATAAGCAGCAGGCGACTTTGAAACAAGACCTAAACAATAGCGAATAATCATTGGATGATAACGAATTTCCTGTTTTGAAGTATTTAAGTATTTTTGTTGTTCATCCCAAAATAACTTCATAAATGGAGTGACTGTACTATTATTTTTTGATATGATTGAAACCAAATCTTTGTGTAGGTCATCACTGACAAGATGATGATTTATTTAATTCCTTTTGCATTTCTTTGATGTTATCTTTAAGCAATCTATTTTCTAAATGGTAACTTTGTAGAGTTAGTTTTACACGTTCTGGTGCAGTTTTAGAAATTGGAGCTCTAAGTTTAGATGGAATAAGTAATTTATCACTATTTTTTTTAACAGATGTTTGGTTTTGAGACTGAAGGCATTGGCATCCTTTACAAATATCTTTTTTTTTTAATAACAACATCATATGAAAGAGCTCGGGTATGTTCTGTTTGGTTTAAAGGTAAAAAATAACTATTAAATAAATCAAAATTTTTAGGTATAACATGAAGAAGATAGCTATGAGAACTAATTAATTTATCTGGGATACCTGGACATACTATATATGACAGCAAAACTGAAATAAGGTTACAAACAGTTGTATTGAAAATTGATCTTTTTAGATGCAAGTATATTTCATGATTATCTGGCAGAGCCCATAAAGATATACAAATAGTAAACAAGAGGCTATCAATATAAATTTCATACTTAGGAACAGTGTGAATATTGTCCATTTTACTCAGTTTTAAAAAAGTGTCACTAGTATTTACATTCCAATCAAATTTTTGTAAGCTAACACGTTTGACCAACTCCTTAAAAGATTTATATGATTTATTATGAATAGCTTCATCTGAAACAGAAGGTATAGTTGATTTCTTTAGGCATATAGAAGAAGCTGATGCTCATGCTTTAGGATTAAATATACACAACGAAGAATATGGAATTGTTTTAACTGGAAGATTTAATGTTGGTAGTGAACCTGGTTTTAAAGTTGTTTTATTTGGATTAACAACTAACATATTAGCTTCGTAATGCTTTTCACAAATAAATTTTTTATTTATTTGGGACCTAAGGCTTTCATCGACTACTCTAATCTTAGTTATGATATTTAAAACTTTTATTCTCCATTTTTTATTGAAATCATCATCAGAGGATGGTATTTTAAAATATGAAACACCTTTATATCTTCGAGAAGTACCACAGCCCAAAATGGAACAATTAGCACCAGGCATTTGCAAGTAACAAAGTTAAATAAATATTTTTTTTAACCTGTCTTTTTATAAAAAGTGTGCACTCATTGGTAGACTGGGTTCTAAAAAAAAGCTAACAATAACGTAAACAATAGCGCTCTTAACCTGGCCGGACTATGTATATTATGACTATTCTTTTAGAGACATCTTAAGCAATATTCAATTATACAATTTTTTTATTTTCTTGCAGTTTTTAGATAACCCTAACTTTGTTCTCTTTAGCCTGATGAAATCTGCTCTAGCTTTTGAATATTTTTTTTTTTTGTAGAGTTGGAGGATGTCTTCCTGGGTAATTTCGTGCTTTTTAGCCTGATTGTCATCAAACACTGATATGTGCTTGATGACAAGTAAGAGTTAGGTCTAATCAAAATTCCAAGGGCTTTTTATGCTTTCTTAAAAGAAAAATAGAATCTCTATTGGAGGAATCGAGGATACTCCCAAAGCCTGTCTGTTTGACTGCATTTAATTTTATAAACAGTTACTTTGACTAATTAAATATGAATTGTCATATAAATTGTTAGTACTTTCAAGAACTAAGTGCAACTCCATGATTGACAAAATTTCATAAACTTTTTTTTTTTCATAAAGATTTAGCAGAGTGAGGTTTACAGAACTTTTGTAAATTGCTGCTGAGAGATTTGATTTTTGAAAATATTTTGATAATTAGTGCCTTGAACTCTGAATGCTTTCTGATAATTAACAGGATTGGATCTAATTATTCCAAAAATTTCTTATTTCCCTAACATGCTTGGTTTCACACTAAGGACAAGGGTATATTAATGTAGCTGAGTCTAATCTATGAAAAATATCTGCAAGTTCATTACAAGTGTGAACGGAACACTTAAAACAAAATAGCTTCAAAATTTTCTTTAAGTTTTATTTACAAACATAACAGTTGCCAAGATGATTCTTTGATTTACCTTTTAAAGAAAAAAAAAGTTTGTTCCTTTTGGCTTTTCAATAAATTCATGCAGGCTTTCTGTAATCACGCAAACCTTCTGTAATCATGTAGATTTTCTGTTAGCTATCAATGCCTACTTTGACCATATATCTGTTTAGTGAAAAAATCACATCAGTCAATGATCTGTTCAAACAATCCAACAACATAATTGCAAAAAATGTGCTATGCTAACTTACCTTGTTTATCTCCATTTGATACATCAAACTTTGTAGATATAAAACTGTAGAAATATTGTGTGCTTTATTTCATTTTTTAAAATTATCTATATCACATTGACTTTATTTAACTTTTGACATTGAAACTGGTTCACAAAATAACCACTTAAGTCTGTAATTGATGTGGTCACTTTGTCTGTTTCAATGTCTGAAGCAATAATTTATGCTTCTATTTTATGTAGTGTCAAAAAATTGTAATTAAAAGGTAAAATAAATTGAAAATCCAAACCTAATATTTAATTGGACCAGTCATAGTTTAAGCATTACTTGTTATTGTTTGTTTGTTTTCAATGGTTAAACCAATCAAAAAGCAAGCATTATTTGCTATGGCTCCAATACTTTTAAAGATATTTAATCATTTTTGTTCAGGTTTTGTAAATTTTATATCGTGTTCATATTATTTTATATTATGTTTTTTTTTGTTTTTTTTTTAATATTTTTTTTTTATGCATTTAAATAGAGATACATGCTAATGCAACAAAATCAAAGAAAAAAGCAATTGCAAGAAGAAAAGCGCAAAGAAAAAGAGAAGAAAGCACTCCAAGACAAAATGTTACAGGTAAACTGGTTGCTTGGTTAAATAATTTTTTAAGATTTAGTCTTTTAATTGTTTTATTAATTTAAAGTTTAAGTCTAATGTATAGTTTTTTTATATTATCTGATATAGTTGTAATTGTTCTTCGATGGTATGTCTTCTTCATTTTTTACTCTAAATTAATTTTGTAATTATTTAGGAATTATATGCAAAACAAAAAGCTGCTGTGAGAGTTGAATCAAAGCATCCAATTAGTGAAACATTTATAAAGAGTAAACAAAGAAAACTTGAATCAGTGAGTACTTACTCTTGCATAATGTTTGAAGTTTTTTATAAATCATTTTTTTCCCAAAATTTTCTTTCGATATATTTAAGATGCTTCAAAACGAACAAGAGAAATATAAGTCAAGTATCCATTGCGAACAAGAAAAATATAAGTCAAATACTCATAATGATCAAGAGAAATTTATGTCAGGTATTCAAAATGAACAAGAGAAATTTATGTCAGGTATTCAAAATGAACAAGAAAAATACAAGTCAAGTATGCAAGGTGAAAACAATAAATTATATTTATGTTCAGGTCTCAATTAAGTGGTTGGAGGTTGGCATTCCTTGGAACAATCTGGAGATTCTTTGGGTAAATTGGTTGCTTGCCCCCTTTTGTAAATTTCAGGAATAGTTTGGGGGTTGCCAATGTCTGACTGCTAACTTGAGTTCTAATATTTAATGTATATATTATGTATGTAATATAATGTATATACACACTCACACACATATACATACAAATAATTTTAAGTGTATTCTACAAAAGTAGAGTGCTCAATCTTAAAAGAATAGAGCGATAATAAATTAGGAGATAGTTACTCTTCAAATTTTTTTCATTTTATAAAATTTTGGAATTTTTTTTTTAATTTCTTGAGACTTTAATTCTTGTCTTCCATAATAGGTAAAAATTTTTAATGGCTTTCCTATATAGAGTTTCAGTAAGGATCTAATATTTTTATTATAAATTGAGACTGAAGGCCTTTTTTTTTGCCTTTATTTATTTATTTTGTAAGGTAGAGCTTTTGCAAATAGTTTTACAGATTTAGGTATTATGTTTTAATTGTCCTCATAACCAATGATACTATCTTATTTTTGTATAGCTATGCCTTGAGATGTGAGAATTTCATGGTAGATACTGTTAAGGTAGCTGCATTAAATATTTTTATCAAAGGATAATAAGTTACTTCGAAAAATTTGTTATTTTAGGAAGCATTCTAAAAAAAAATATGGTTTCTATGTGTGAAATAACCTGCAAGAATATTCCTAGCAATATATACTTAGTATCAGGGATGCGGAGTCCCAAAAAAGACTCCGGATTTGAAAGTCACAAAAAGATTACTTCTTTCTAGTTTTTGGTATCCAGGAGCTTTAAAAATATAAAAAAAGTTATGGGTTACTAAAGGGGAAAAAATCAAAACTTATAGGTCAGAAAAACAATCAATTTTTGAACATGGATTCCTTAGGTATAATGGCAGCAAGAACTCTGGGACTCCAGACTTTAAAACAATAAGTTTCAAGTCATTTAATATCATAAATTTTTTTCTTATAGCAGATCATTAACCAACCAAATGTTTAGAGTTGCTGGACACCAGAGACCATAAAAGAAAAAAGTTATAAAGCTGGAGTCTTTTTAGGACTCCACATCCCTGCTTAGTATATATTGTATATGGTTATATATTTTGGATCCATTTAACTAGAAATTTACTAAGTTTGATAGCATATTAAATGCTATTTTCTTTTTTTCTATATGTATTATGTTTTATGTTTATAATTTATTATGGAGCTTTTAATAAGGTTTTAATATTCAACGCCCTCTATTAATCTTTATTAATTACTTGCGCGACAGAATAATTAGTTGTGAAGCCTAGCTTGGTCTTGTTTGATCATTTTTTATACTTATATATGGTAATATAAAGAAATTTTGTAAAGTATATACTTCTTGGTTCTACACATACACACATGAGTATTTTTTTATTATGCATTAAAATTTTAATTAATTTTATGTTTGTTTGTTTAAAAGCACAATCGAGCAGTTCAGCAGATGTTTCATTGTTTACAGTTCCAAAGCAAACTAGTAGTCCATGCGGCAAGAGTTCTCTTGATACAAATTCTAGTAGAAGTTTAGTCAATGAAGCTAAAGATTCAATGTCGGTTTATGAATCATCTATAAATCTTGTCTACACAAAATCAGGTTATTACTTATAAATAATCATGATCCGATTAATTTATGTGCTCTTTGATTTTGTGTAAATTGTATTTAGTTTTTTTAGAATGTTAAAACATCTATATTAATTAGGTCTTGAGAAATCAAAAGTAGACCGCATAAATGCAATAAGAACTACTGCTGCTGCCTTACGTCAAAGATTAGATGAAGAAGCCATGAGACTAACATCTTTAGTGCAGAAAAAACAAACAATCGAAAGCACTTCAATAAAATCAGTTCATTATGACATTACAGAAAATGAAATTCCAGGTATGATGGTATAATTGATAATGAAGTATATATATATTATTTTATTATAATTATTGATTTGTGTTGAATATTTCATTTTATTTACATAGGTGTTCAGAATTTAGAAGAAAAATCTAGGCTTGTTAAAAAAAAGGTATTTATGAGTTTTTTTAATGCATGATAACAATTATCTTGTGGTATTTTACTAACTTATGTTGTGTATTAATAAACAAACAATAGGAGAGGCTGGGCTTATTTAAAGAATGGGGTCTGTGAAGCGTTTTAATTTATCGCCACCTATTAAATAGATAATTATTTCATTTATTTGCATTATTGAATTGATTAAATTATATTTGGATATTTTGTTTATTTTGAAAATAAAGTTTTTTATTATGGTTTTTTGATTTTGATTAAGTCAGGTTTTTCTTTTGATTTGACATTTTTTTATATAGGTTATGTGATGTTTAAAAATTAAAAAGTGTTTTATGATAAAAAGTTGACTAAATAATTAGATATCTTACTTTTTTTATTATGAAATTCAGATTTTTGCACATAATAAACTAGAATAAATAGTAGTTTATTAGATATGTTCCAACCCCTAACTAGCCCTTAATATCAGGGTTTGTTGGAATATATTGTGGAACTACTGGTCAAGTATAAGTATCAAACTGCATAAATTACTAAAAAATGCATATTTTAATAGAGTATTTGGCTATAAAAAGAATTTTAAATAGCACTTGCAATTTGAACGCTGTTTTAAAAGATGTTTTAGAAGATCCTTTTTTAAAATCTTTATTTTAGTTATACTTAGCTATCTTTTACTTGTATATTTTCAATTTATATATATATATATATATATATATATATATATATATATATATATATATATATATATATATATATATATATATATATATATATATATATATATATATATATATATATATATATATATATATATATATATATATATATATATAGAGAGAGAGAGAGGCTTCGGCAGGAATGGCGGGATATAGCTGGCATCCGACTCCATACTTGTGCAAATCAGTTTACAAGGGCGAAATAAAGCCCGTGCAAAATTTAAATTATTGGGCAAAATAAAGTTGAAATATTTTTATGTTTTTATTTAGTTATTCTTTTAAAAACTTCTCAAATGATATAATTTTGATAAAATGATAAAATGTTATAAAACTTTTTGTTTTACTAGTTAAAAAACGAAACTTTCATTCAGGATATGCTAAAGAAATTATGAAAAAAAAAATTTTTTGAATTTTTTAATGTAAACATAAAAATCAAACAAGTTATTTCAAACAACTATAACAGTTCTGTATTATTCTGTGTTATGTTAAAAGATAAACAGTTAGTATGTTAAAAAGCAGGCAAAATACACATGTGTTGCAAAAGAGTTTAACATGTCTGGGTTCTATTCATAAATAAATGTAAAAAAGATTTTTTTTTTTTTAATTCATATAACGCTTTTTTTATACTATATAAGATATATATATATATATATATATATATATATATATATATATATAATATATAGATATAGATATAGATATAATATATAGATATAGATATAGATATATATATATAGATATATAATATATATTTTATATTATATAAGAATATATTTAAGAAGTATATATTTAAAAAGTATACATACCAGAATCTTACAAAATTTATTTGCTATTTGTAATAAATCTCTTAGAAATTAAAAATTAGATTAACATAATAAATTAGATTAACATAATAAATTAATAAAGAAGTGAAATGATCAAACATAATAAAATAATTAAGATCTTAATTATTTGATTATGTTTGATGTATAACATGTGTTAACTAAAAATCTGGACAAAGTTTGAGCAAATATTAAAATATGAATGAATAACTTAATATGCTTGCAATCACTTCTATTTTGTTACAAATTTAATTCTTTAAATGTTTTATTAAAAAAAAATTTATTTAGTAATAATTAAAAATGGAAAAAAAGACTTGTAACAAAGACTCTTTTAGAAAATGAGTGTATGCATTTTTGGATTTGCATCCAGATAAGAATAGAAGCTTTATTGTAAATCATTTTTGAATGGAGAACATACCAAAATCTACTATTTATTATATACTTCAAAAAAAGGAGAATAATATAGGACCAGAAAGAAAAGTTGGAAGTGGTCGCAAAGCAAAAAAGATGTCTGCAAAAGAGATAAAGCGTCTTAAAAATTCGATTGATCAAAAAGATGGTATTTTACAGCATGGTCTTTCAAAAGGATTCTATGTATTACAACTGTACATATGCAAAATTATTAACAAAAAAACTAGTATTTGTTATCTTAAAAAAATTAAAACACCTAAAAGAACACCGACTCAAAAAGCAGCTGTTTGTTCAAAGTGCCGTAGATTGGTTTCAGTTTTTAGGAAAAAAGTAGTTATTATTGACAATGAATCGTATTTTTATTTGAGCAACACCAAAATTTCCGGAAATTCTGTACTCTATTATTTCAAAATTTTGGAAATTCTGTATATCTGACATAAATACAGCATCAAATGATGTCAAGTTAAAAAGAAAAGACAAATTTGAGCCAAAATTACTTGATTTACAAGAGTAGACACCGTTTGTCATCATAGCATGAAAAACTTATAATTTTTTTAAATTTTATTATTTAGATATTTTTTGTTATTATACTTTTTAAATTACTAAAATTGATCATTCTGTTAAAAAGTTATACAATTTCTAATTTTGTCCAGATTTTTAGTTATCATGTGTTGAGTTTTTTTTTTATATTTTATAGTTTTATTAAAATATTTTAACTTGGTTAAAATATAATCAATCGTTTTTAAAAAAAATTGATTTTTTATTATTAATATTTAATTAATTATTTTTTTTATTTATTTTTTTTTTTGCAAGTTGTTTTTCTGCATTTTTATTGTTAAAAAAACCTTTATTATTACAATTAAAATTTTTACTATACCTGGCATGAAGAATCAACTAAAAAAACTTTTAGAATAAATTTTTTTTTATAAAGACGTAATAATTTTAATTTTTAAAAAAAGCCTGTGCAAGACATATAGGCGGGCGGCCCACGTTAACGGGTTTAGACAGGCTATTTATAGCTTGTGCATTCATTTACCCCTGCCGAAGTCTGTATATATGTATATGTATATATGTGATTCTCTTGAATTAAATTTAACTTTTTAATTTTTTGTTGTCAATTGCAAGTGATAACAAAGAATAAAATGAAGTAAAGTTCTTTTTTTTTTTATTTTTTTAAGCTTTTGAAAAATCTTGTCTAGTGTCTATAAAGAAAATATTTCCTTATGTCTAATAAAGACATCTTAAAATTATTTGCTTTTTCTTAGACTAAATTTTGTTAATTTCTAAGGATAAAAGCTGAATTCATTGTTTTAATTAAACTCATAAATTGTATAAAATTTTAATAAACTTTTCACTCTTGATTTTGTTGAGATTTTTTTATTTATTTATTTTTGCTTAGTTATTCCTGATGTTAAACTTGTGGTCACACCTTTTCTAAATTTCTTTCTTTTTTTAACACTTTTTTTTTAAAATAAATTTATCTTTTCAAAGCTCAAGAGTGGGGCCATTACAAATGAGAAGACTGCCCCTTTTTTTTCATTCTATTTTCAAATCTTTCTTGACCTTAAACCTCAAAACACAAAACCTTTTTAAACAAGCTGAATGTGCAGTAAATTATAAAATTATAAAAAAGATGTAGGCTAGAGGTAGAGCAATCAATATAATATAATAACAATTTAATATTTAATACAATTAATAATTTAATATAATATAATATTTTAATTTTATATTGTATTAGAAAACAGAAATATAAATTATAAAGTGTTAAAACCCAAATCACAATCTGTCTTTTTATGGGTTATCATTGCTATCTTTGTTAAGAATATATAATATAACAATATAATAATTGTTTTCAAATTCATTAAAATACCTGTTAAAAATCTGTGGTTACTTATATAATAAGGGATTCATATAAGTTTTATAATTGTGTAAAAGTTTAAAAAATTATATAGTTATTGAAATGATAAAAAATATTTTACATTTTTTGTTTTGTTAAAAGAATGAAATGGAGGATGCTGCAAAATTAATACAAGCTGCATATAGGGGTCACTGTGTTCGGCAAAGTTTATCTTGGCAACTTCCATCAGGGCGTACATTATATCAGTCTTTGGAAGAAGCAAAAAGACAAGCATTTCTTAATGATATTCAAAGCAATCCTGTTGAGTTAACCAGCAGTAACTTCCGACCTGTTGTTCTACCTAATAAATATGAATACTCCAACTCCTTTCGAACAGAAGATTCTTCTTCTTTAGCAAAGGATGCTTTACAAAGTTTATCGCTTCCTAATGACAAAAGTTTGCAAGAAACAATTCCAAGTGATAGCTTAAACTCTGTAATTAAAGAAAGTTATTCTGAAAAACAACCTGTAAAGGTTTTTATCAATTTATTTATCAAGTATTTCTTAAATAAAAATAATTTTTTTTTGCTTTCACATAACCATATTATATTTACTTTTATTTTCACTACATAGGATTCTTATGAGAGGTACACTGCAGCAAGTAATAGTGAACAAAGTACAGGTTAGTTTTGATTGTTAGTATCAGAGTATAATTTATAAAATATTAATGAAAAAAATTATTTAAAAAATATGTTTATAAATCAATAAAATAATTTTCACATTAAATTAGGAAATCGATTTAATTTCATGACAGTCCTGAAATTTATAAAAGTTTCTTAGGACTAAGTTTGAATAAATTTTTTTTAAATAAACATCAGTATTTTAAATAAAAATTTAAAATACTATTCAGATATGGAATCAAATAACATTCATTCTGACGAACAAATTAAAAGGTTGAGGAATATTCTAGAAAAACACAAAGACACTTATCGCGATAAGTAAGTTAAGTTTTGTTTAAGTTATATGATTTTTTGTGATCAGGTTAAATCAATTTAATATTTAACAATTATTTATTTGGTTAAATAAAAAAATTTATTTATTTTAAAAATATTTGTTTATATTTATTGGTTATTAATTGTATTACTTATTAATTATATTATTGATTACATAAAAAAGTTTGCATAAAAATTACTTTTGATATCCACGCATTTAGAAATGTAATTAGTTAAGAAAAAACAAAGAAAATTTTATTTTTATTGTTCTAACTTTTCCATCAAAAATGTTCAGCATAAGAAAAAAAAAAGATGTTATATGACTTTTAAAAAAAGAAATCATGAAATAAACGTAAAACATTTTTATTTATCATCTTGCAGCGCAACAATATTTATTTAGACTTTCTCATAACAAACAATAGCATAAATAATTACCGAATTTAAAAAAAATAAAGAAATTACAAAATAAAAAATTGTTAGCTAAAAAATAGTACATGTTAAATTTTGTTTTATATTAGCACCACTTTTGATGTCTTAAGTTTTTAGTTTTTTTACATTGTATCAAAAAATAAAAAAACATTAATTACAAACTTTAAATGACAAATAAAGAGTTGTTTTTTTTATAGTTAAATTAAAAACCTCTTCTATGCATATAGTTCCATTATTAATTTTTCAAAATAATATTTTGAGGGAGTTTAGATACCCTTGTTATCAAGAATAAATTTCGTTTTTTCTTCCTCCTTTTTTATTTTTTACAAAAAAGTGTATGTTTAACTTTTTTGTAATAAGGCAAATGGAAACGCAACGGTTTTTATTTTTTTATGAATGGTACTTGGAAACTTAAATCTTTGTCTCAAAAAAAGCAATGGTAAGGGATTGTCCATAAATTACGCTAAATTGGTAAGTTGCTAAATTGGTAAATTAGGCTGGTAAGGGACAAATAATAAACAAAACAAATAAGATCAAAAGTTTCTTTGGTAGGTCTTTAATTAAACCAAAACTGAAACTAGTTCAAATGAAAATTGCTGCGTAAAAGAGCCAATTATCTCCTACTTCTATTTTTTTTTAAAGTTTTGTGTTGTGTAATTTATAGACAATGTCATTAACGTTATTATTAATATTTTTGTTTTTTTGCAACAGGTAATATTTTTGTTTTGTAATATTTTTTATTTTTGTTTAACTTTTTAAAACAAAAAAATCATTATTATTTGCTAAGCCGCAATTTAAAAAAATAAAATTAACATATTTTAATTTATTTATACAAATGTCAAGAAAAGAAATAAACAAATTTCTGTTAAATAATAATGAAAAATGTAATATTAAATTCAATCATTAAATATTAAAAAAGAAACAAAACAGTTGAAACAAAATAGAAATTTCACAAAATGTACATTTACAAAATAACACTTGTAGTTTATTTGTTTTTCTTAATTAGTAAATTAAATTTGTTTTGCGGTAATTTATTTTATTGCAGTAGTTTAAAAAATGTTAATGACCTTAAATAAATTTTAAAAAGGCAATAATTTTATTACGTTAGAAACACGCAGAGCTAATCTTTTTTTTTTTTAAAACAAGGCCTGATATATATATATATATATATATATATATATATATATATATATATATATATATATATATATATATATATATATATATATATATATATATATTATATATATATATATATATATATATATATATTTATATATATATATATATATATATATATATATATATATATATATATATATATATATATATATATATATATATATATATATATATATATATATTTATATATATATATATATATATATATATTTATATATATATATATATATATATATATATATATATATATATATATATATATATATATATATATATATATATATATATATATATATATATATATATATATACAGGCCCAGCGCTATATATTTTGAAGGTGGGTGAAAAAAGTATTTTGCTGCCTTGATAAAATAAATTTTGAATTTTTTTATGTATTTTAATAAAGTTTTATGAAAAAAGGTTAGAAATAATTTATCTTAAAATTACTAGCAAAATTTGTTACTATTGTAATGTCATTTTATGACAGAGTTGTATCTAATTCTTTTTCAACATGCATGTTTGATAGACGTTCTTAAATCTTTTTTATAAGGTCTATATAATCATAAATTAATTTTAGTTTACTTAAAGGTTGTTGCGATAGAAAATTTGAATTAAAATGGATATATATTGGAAAATAGGCCATACACCATTTGAGTATATTTGATTGAGAAAGCCTAAAGTGTTTCCAGAAGTGAAAAACAAAGACTACATCAAACTATTATGATGCAAAATATCTTCTATAAAGTTGTCTTCTATTTCAAGCTTTAATTTTTCTGGTTCTTGATCTTTTAATTAGATGAATAAGAATCTTAACAAAACAGTTTTTACAATTACAAAATTGAATTTGTTGAATGGAATGACGAAGCTCAATCTTAAAGATGTTCACTTCAAGCTTCAGAGAACTTAGGAAAAAAACTGAACATCCATGTTCATTGCGATTTTGCTATCTTCATTTGCTTTGCAAAAAATTCTGTTTCAAGATCATAAGTCAATGTTTATCTGAAGATAAAGTAACGGCTTTAGAGCAACAGTGATTTCCCATGGTCATTTTGCAATTAGTTTTATAGTGGCAATTTCAGCTGAATGTCTGATGTCTGAAAACTTGTAAAGCAAAATCTTCCATCTTGCGGTAGTGCCGCTGAAAACTAAAAGATCTTAGATTTTTATTTATTTTATTTAACTTATGCATAAAAAGTTTAATATTGATGAAGAAAAGCACCACCTTTCATTTGATATTGGCATTGACAATTGACATTGCTAATAAACATCTCCTCAGAGTCGCGTGACAATTGACATTGCTGCAGTCAAAGTAGCATTATAAAAATACTTTTAAAAGAGTTTACTGTCGGTAGATCAATTACATCATACACTAATTTATTCCAACGGTTTGCAACATGGTTTTAAAAAATGTGCTAATGTTCAACTTTTGATTAGTTAGGGTTTTAGGCAGGTCATTTTTATTTAATTATATGTTGAGTTTAATGAGAAAGCATAAAGGCACCAATATTTTTAAACTTGGTTTTAAACAACTTTCTAATTTTTTCAAAAGCGGTTCTTTGTGACAAGACTAAGATGTTATAGTTTTAAATAATCTTTTTCTGAAAAAATTTATTTAAAAAAATAAATTAATTAAAAACTATAATTGTTTGGTAATATAAAAAAGTAAGTTATTTGCTATGCACATCAACAAGTAAATTTATTTTATGCCTCATCATATATATAGTTCATTTAAATCAACAAGTTCTTTGGTTGGTTTATGTTTAAAATTTATGATTGAACTCCTATTATTAAAAAATTCAAACATATTTCAAAATTTCTTGAGGATTCAATTTACATGAGTATATATGTGTGTGGTTGTATGTATATGTATATATATATATATATATATATATATATATATATATATATATATATATATATATATATATATATATATATATATATATATATATATATATATATATATATTTATATTTATATTTATACATTTATGTATACATATATAAATATAATGCATATACATATACACACATTTGTTATTGCTTTAGATATTCCATCATTAATATTTTTACCCGCAACTATGCAGGATTTAAAAGTTTAAAAAGTGCAGGTAATGTTTGTATATTATTCAAAAAAAATTTCTAAATATTGTATTGAGAAACTTTGATTCTAAAAGTTAATATTTTTATTAATGCACTTGCTTTTTAAAAGGAGAGACATAATTCGAGATTTGCTTCAATCTTGTCCCTAGTAGTATTTCAATTAAAAAAAGTTGAATACATTATGATGTATTGTATGACAGTACAGACTAAATAATAAATACATACATGTAGATATGTCAATTTCAGGTAAAATTATTGTAGATTTTGTCTCAAATGGTGTTTGCTTAACCAGTTATTCTTAAACAATTTTTGAGTGAAGTTCAAAAAACAATTCAGTTTTTGCTTATTTTTGTGGTTGACCTGCTTCTATTTTTAACATTTTAAAGATATTTAAAAACTTAAAAAGTATAAATCTTTGCAACAGTTTCTTTGCAAGTCAAGTTACACAACTTAGTAATAAAATTTATGCAATTTGAATTTAGATTAATTTAGGATAAATTTGAATTAAAATAAAAAAAGTTGCATTTTAGCAAAGTGTAAAATTTTGTGTTTTGTGACAATTAATCTTGTATAAAAAATTGTCAAATGTGACAATTAATAAATCCTCACACCAATCCACAATCACCGGCAAGCACTTGAAAAGTCCTTACATCAACCCACAATCACCTACAATGCCTTTCACAGTTTACACACTTTCATTTAAAAAATATTGATAAATGAAAAGAAAAATATTTACCATAGATTTGCTTAACAATTTAATGCCAATATATAGTTTTCGTTTTTATTAAAATTAATTAATAAAATCGCTTTTATTAAAATTATTTATTAAATTTTTAAAATTATTTTTAATTTCTAATTTTTTTTATTACTTAACTATATACTTTTTTTTAATTTTTTTTTGCCTTTTGTGTTTTTTGTTTTGTTTTTTATCTTCTTTAGAGGATCTCTTCTGTTATATTCTTTTGCCCAAAGCATCCATTTGTAGTTTAACATCATCAAAATACTGCTTTGGCATAATTATCTCATTCATATGTATTTTTGAAACTATATTATTTGACAAAAGGCCAAGTATTTATAATGAATCTTGAACTTTAATTTATAATTGATCTTGAACTTAACTTAGTAGAACAAAAGCTCTTCTTGTCAACTTGGTTTTGGCTTGCAGGCTCTTGAACAATGAAAAATTAGGTTACCTCTCTTTTCCAAACAACAATTTCCATACTTCTTTGATCATGATGCCATATAAATGAAGCCTGCAAGCAAATTACAGTATTTTTCTATTAGGGTGCTTTTCTATGGCAACTGCACTGCATTGGATACACCCATTGTTGATATCCTAGCAAGTACCAACAATTAATTTTTCGACATTTGCACTTTTGCAAATAAAGGAATTTATTTATTTATTTGTGAGCTTATTTATTTATAAGTTACCTGTTACGTGATATCAAATTTGATTTCCATGAATCTTTTTTTATAGATAGTCTAGGGTGTTTATCAAAAAAAATAACAGCAATCTGTCTAATAGTTTCATTAAAAATGTTTTTTGAAAGAGTTAGAGAAACTATTTTGGATTTTTTTTTAGATTTTTGAATGTCGAAGTTAGAAGAAAACATTTTGAATTACTTTCTGTTTCAGAGTTTTTTTCTCCTTTATCTTGAGTTTCTTAATGTAGCATCTGACATTTTTTTTTTTTAGCTTATTCAAAATTTGAAGTTGTTTATTTTTTATTGTGTATTATGTGAATACCTGCTACCAGCTAAATCTTTCTAGTTGATCGTTGGTCTCATAAAAAATCAAAATCTTCTTTCCTTGTGACAACACATTGACTTCAATCACTTTGAATTGTTTTAATGGCATCAGTAACAGAAAAGTCTTAGAACTTAAGTTTTTTCTTTTATTCTTTTTGTTTTGTTATTGGATTTAGAGATTCACTTTTAGAATTTTTTTTACAGGCAGGTCTCATTTAATGAAAAACAACTTTTTTGTTTTTTCTTTTCATAAGTTTAAGTGGAAACTTATCATGGTTAAAATCATTATCATAGTAGTGGAATAAGTCTTTTGCTTCATTTTACTACTTAATAAGCAATAGTTGAGATATGAATATTCCTGATTCCATAAGATCAATCTTGATTGTGCAACAATCTCAAAAGACATTTTTGATAGGATGAAAGAGTTATTCCAAAAATCTTTCAATTGGATGATCAAGAATTAGATTTATTTTTTTGCTCTACTGAGCTTTACTTAGCTGTTTACTGAGCTGTCAACTCAGTCACCTATTTCATCCTAATTGATGTGCAAATCTTACATACCCAGTTCTTGTATACACCTTAGTAATCTTTTAAAACTTTCCAGATTGGCATCCTTCTAGAACCTTCAAAAACATTCCTCTAGGTTTTGGAGTTTCAGAGTCTTTCCAGAGCCTTCATTATCTTCTAGAACATTCTTTCCAGAATGTTCTGGAAGATTCCAGAATGTTTTTGAAGATCCTAATGTTTCAGAAGGTTCTAATATGTTCTGGAAATTTTTAGAATGTTCTGGAAGGTTTAGAAATTTTTTTCTGAAACCCTCTAGACCTCTAGAACATTCGTTTCTGAATTTCCGGAAAGTATCTGAATGATTTAGTAGGTTCAAGAACGTTCTACACTTGTGGCCATTGGAATGGACACCCCTGTAATTTTTACCATTTTTCTTAGAAAAGTTGACATATCGTGCATTTGGTGGATTTAATTATTTATTTTTATATTTAAACCACGTCATCTATTATTTGGCTTATAGGAAATCGCAAATTTTATTCATTTATATAAATTTTAAACATAATTATGGATTATTATTGTTAATTGGTGTCAAAAATGAGTCATTCCTCTGCTAATGGGTTTCTCTAATAAAAGGTGAATGTCTCATTATTTTTGTGCTTTTGTAAAAATTAGTCTATTTATTGTGATGATTAATAGTTAATTATGTTATTAATTAAGATTTTTATCCATAAATCTTTTAAGCTATAAATACAAGATCATTGTTTTGTGGTCATTTAGTCGAGTTTCAACAATTGCTGGTGAAAAGTCAACAGTGCTCTTGAAGATTCAGTGTATTTTTTAAAATTGTACTTTTATTTACAATGGCGAAAGGATATTGGTCACCTACAAAGCGATGCAAAGCTGTTACATTTTCGTGGAGAAGGTTATTCATACATGGAAATTGCAAAAAAGTTGGGAAATGGAGCAACAAAATCTGGAGTGAGGAAGGTGTGCTAAAGGTTTAAGGCAACCAATACTTTCAAAAATATGCCAAAAAATGGAAAAATTAAGAAGACAACTGCCAACGATGACAGGATGATAATGAGGCTTGCACTTAAGAACCGAAGAGCAACTTCAGCTGAAATTAAAAATGATTTAGAGGCCACCGGAGTTTCAGTTTTTGTTGAACTAACTTTCAGTTAGTTCAACAAAAATTTGCCGAATGCTTTTTGAAAATGGTTTAAAAGCAAGATGACCCAGAAAAAAACCATGTTTAAACAAAAAACAATAAAAGAATCGTTTGATTTAGGCAAAAGAACACAAGGAGTGGACAAAGGAAGACTGGGCAAGAGTTATTTGGAGTGATGAAAACAAGATTTCCATTTTTGGAAGTGATGAAATCAATCATGTGAGAAAAAGGCCCGGTGAAGATCTTTTATCTGAGTGCACATTGGTTACAATGAAGCCCAACAATTTTTGTATTATGAAAACTTTTTGTATAGTTTTTACTTTTTTTTTACGACGATTTAACAACAATTAAGTGAAATATCATAAAACTTTAGGTCTCAATATCATAAAAATTAGGAAGGGGAGGGGGTAATGCTTAGAGTTTTTGAAAAATAAAATTTGACACTAGTCATCACACATTAGGTTTTGAATATTTTTAAAAAAATATGGATAATCAAACTTTTTTTTTTTAATAACATTTTTTGTATCTTATTTAGAATATAACACTTTTTAACAGAATATAACATTAAGAATATAACATTTTTTAACAAATGGTTTTTAATTTCTTGTTCTGCTCATAATTTATATCAGATAAATTATGTTAATGTAGCCAAGCACACTTAAAGCACAAATAAGAATGTTTGTTACGCGCAACATTTGTAATCTTATCAGCTTTGGAATGGGAATGGAATTGGATAGAAGAAATAATCTGCAAAGCTATTATTATGAGGCACATATTAACAATGACCTGTAAAGCTATTAATAGATGTAGTTGAATTAAGTTAAAATTCACCATTCAACACCCGCGGAAATAAATAATGTATAACATGCCATTTACACCCATACCACCACAATGAAAATAAATAATTTTCATTTTAAATACATGTAACTGAGTAAGTATAGTTTTCATGATAGATATTTTACTTAAATGTAGTATTGCCATAAGTGTTGTTTTAAATAATTTTAAAAACATTGCATTCTTGTATGAATGTTCTGGTACTATAAACTTCTTATACTTCTTCTTCTTGTATGAATGTTTGGTAATGTTACCATATATTTCTTATACTTATTGTATGAATGTTTGGTAATGTTACCATATATTTCTTATACTTCTTGTATGAATGTTTCGTAATGTTACCATATATTTCTTATACTTCTTGTATGAATGTTTCGTAATGTTACCATATATTTCTTATACTTCTTGTATGAATGTTTCGTAATGTTACCATATATTTCTTATACTTCTTGTATGAATGTTTCGTAATGTTACCATATATTTCTTATACTTCTTGTATTAATGTTTGGTAATGTTACCATATATTTCTTATACTTCTTGTATGAATGTTTGGTAATGTTACCATATATTTTTTATACTTCTTGTATGAATGTTTGGTAATGTTACCATATATTTCTTATACTTCTTGTATGAATGTTTGGTAATGTTACCATATATTTCTTATACTTCTTGTATAAATGTTTGGTAATGTTACCATATATTTCTTATACTTCTTGTATGAATGTTTGATAATGTTACCATATATTTCTTATACTTCTTGTTTGAATGTTTCGTAATGTTACCATATATTTCTTATACTTCTTGTATGAATGTTTTGTAATGTTACCATATATTTCTTATACTTCTTGTATGAATGTTTCGTAATGTTACCATATATTTCTTATACTTCTTGTATGAATGTTTCGTAATGTTACCATATATTTCTTATACTTCTTGTATGAATGTTTCGTAATGTTACCATATATTTCTTATACTTCTTGTATGAATGTTTCGTAATGTTACCATATATTTTTTATACTTCTTGTATGAATGTTTCGTAATGTTACCATATATTTCTTATACTTCTTGTATGAATGTTTCGTAATGTTACCATATATTTCTTATACTTCTTGTATGAATGTTTCGTAATGTTACCATATATTTCTTATACTTCTTGTATGAATGTTTCGTAATGTTACCATATATTTCTTATACTTCTTGTATGAATGTTTTGTAATGTTACCATATATTTCTTATACTTCTTGTATGAATGTTTCGTAATGTTACCATATATTTCTTATACTTCTTGTATGAATGTTTGGTAATGTTACCATATATTTCTTATACTTCTTGTATGAATGTTTGGTAATGTTACCATATATTTCTTATACTTCTTGTATGAATGTTTGGTAATGTTACCATATATTTCTTATACTTCTTGTATGAATGTTTCGTAATGTTACCATATATTTCTTATACTTCTTGTATGAATGTTTCGTAATGTTACCATATATTTCTTATACTTCTTGTATGAATGTTTCGTAATGTTACCATATATTTCTTATACTTCTTGTATGAATGTTTCGTAATGTTACCATATATTTCTTATACTTCTTGTATGAATGTTTCGTAATGTTACCATATATTTCTTATACTTCACGTATGAATGTTTCGTAATCTTACCATATATTTCTTATACTTCTTGTATGAATGTTTCGTAATGTTACCATATATTTCTTATACTTCTTGTATGAATGTTTCGTAATGTTACCATATATTTCTTATACTTCTTGTATGAATGTTTGGTAATGTTACCATATATTTCTTATACTTCTTGTATGAATGTTTGGTAATGTTACCATATATTTCTTATACTTCTTGTATGAATGTTTGGTAATGTTACCATATATTTCTTATACTTCTTGTATGAATGTTTGGTAATGTTACCATATATTTCTTATACTTCTTGTATGAATGTTTCGTAATGTTACCATATATTTCTTATACTTCTTGTATGAATGTTTCGTAATGTTACCATATATTTCTTATACTTCTTGTATGAATGTTTCGTAATGTTACCATATATTTCTTATACTTCTTGTATGAATGTTTCGTAATGTTACCATATATTTCTTATACTTCACGTATGAATGTTTCGTAATCTTACCATATATTTCTTATACTTCTTGTATGAATGTTTCGTAATGTTACCATATATTTCTTATACTTCTTGTATGAATGTTTCGTAATGTTACCATATATTTCTTATACTTCTTGTATGAATGTTTGGTAATGTTACCATATATTTCTTATACTTCTTGTATGAATGTTTCGTAATGTTACCATATATTTCTTATACTTCTTGTATGAATGTTTGGTAATGTTACCATATATTTCTTATACTTCTTGTATGAATGTTTGGTAATGTTACCATATATTTCTTATATTTCTTGTATGATTGTTTGGTAATGTTACCATATATTTCTTATACTTCTTGTATGAATGTTTCGTAATGTTACCATATATTTCTTATACTTCTTGTATGAATGTTTCGTAATGTTACCATATATTTCTTATACTTCTTGTATGAATGTTTCGTAATGTTACCATATATTTCTTATACTTCTTGTATGAATGTTTCGTAATGTTACCATATATTTCTTATACTTCTTGTATGAATGTTTGGTAATGTTACCATATATTTCTTATACTTCTTGTATGAATGTTTCGTAATGTTACCATATATATCTTACACTTCTTGTATGAATATTTCGTAATGTTACCATATATTTTTTATACTTCTTGTATGAATGTTTCGTAATGTTACCATATATTTCTTATACTTCTTGTATGAATGTTTGGTAATGTTACCATATATTTCTTATACTTCTTGTATGAATGTTTGGTAATGTTACCATATATTTCTTATACTTCTTGTATGAATGTTTGGTAATGTTACCATATATTTCTTATACTTCTTGTATGAATGTTTGGTAATGTTACCATATATTTCTTATACTTCTTGTATGAATGTTTGGTAATGTTACCATATATTTCTTATACTTCTTGTATGAATGTTTCGTAATGTTACCATATATTTCTTATACTTCTTGTATGAATGTTTCGTAATGTTACCATATATTTCTTATACTTCTTGTATGAATGTTTCGTAATGTTACCATATATTTCTTATACTTCTTGTATGAATGTTTCGTAATGTTACCATATATTTCTTATACTTCACGTATGAATGTTTCGTAATCTTACCATATATTTCTTATACTTCTTGTATGAATGTTTCGTAATCTTACCATATATTTCTTATACTTTTTGTATGAATGTTTCGTAATGTTACCATATATTTCTTATACTTCTTGTATGAATGTTTGGTAATGTTACCATATATTTCTTATACTTCTTGTATGAATGTTTCGTAATGTTACCATATATTTCTTATACTTCTTGTATGAATGTTTGGTAATGTTACCATATATTTCTTATACTTCTTGTATGAATGTTTGGTAATGTTACCATATATTTCTTATATTTCTTGTATGATTGTTTGGTAATGTTACCATATATTTCTTATACTTCTTGTATGAATGTTTCGTAATGTTACCATATATTTCTTATACTTCTTGTATGAATGTTTCGTAATGTTACCATATATTTCTTATACTTCTTGTATGAATGTTTCGTAATGTTACCATATATTTCTTATACTTCTTGTATGAATGTTTCGTAATGTTACCATATATTTCTTATACTTCACGTATGAATGTTTCGTAATCTTACCATATATTTCTTATACTTCTTGTATGAATGTTTCGTAATCTTACCATATATTTCTTATACTTCTTGTATGAATGTTTCGTAATGTTACCATATATTTCTTATACTTCTTGTATGAATGTTTGGTAATGTTACCATATATTTCTTATACTTCTTGTATGAATGTTTGGTAATGTTACCATATATTTCTTATACTTCTTGTATGAATGTTTCGTAATGTTACCATATATATCTTATACTTCTTGTATGAATATTTCGTAATGTTACCATATATTTTTTATACTTCTTGTATGAATGTTTCGTAATGTTACCATATATTTCTTATACTTCTTGTATGAATGTTTGGTAATGTTACCATATATTTCTTATACTTCTTGTATGAATGTTTGGTAATGTTACCATATATTTCTTATACTTCTTGTATGAATGTTTGGTAATGTTACCATATATTTCTTATACTTCTTGTATGAATGTTTCTCATAATGTTATTATAAGATATAGATTTAAAAGATTAAACTCTTATTTCCATACAGATAAATGAAAAACATCTTTTTACTTATTCAATTAAAAAAGTATTTCATATATTTAATGAATTTTTAGGAGAAGCACAACAGGTTGACTACACACCTTTGAATACTGAATCTGATTCTTCTACTCTATCAAAGCATTCAAAACATGTTAGTACTGTTCAAAGCTCTACTGATAGTGAAGCAGGCATCTCTACGGATCAAAAAAATATAGTAAGTTTTAGTTTTGTTAGTTTAGTAATTGTAGTCACAAATATAAAAGTTACCATTTAACTTTTTTTGTATATGTTAAATATATTTTTACATTAAATTTTTTGTTTATTTTTCGTAAATTTTTCGCATTAAATTATGTAAAATTCACAAAGCTATTATTTATGTTTTCTATTGGATTAAATTGTTCAAGTACCATCAATGGTTTTAAATACTTTATTTTGTTTTTAGCTCTCTTCGAAGAAGGGAGAAGAATCAAAGTTGCCATCATATTTGGAATCAAATCGCGAAAAACCTCAAGAAAAACTCGAAATATGTGATTTATCAGACCATTCTGAAAAGCTTTTTTCACCATTATCTCGATCTTCTGAGCCAAATCTAATGCCAAAAACTATTCCGGATGAGGCAAGTGACTATTCAAGTGATACTTCCAATTCAATTGTTGATGAATTGTTTTCTGATGAAATTAACCCTATACTAACTTCAACACGTAGATTTCCAAATAAAAAATTAGATAATACGCATGAAATTTTTTTGAAACAGAACATCAACCAATTTAGAGGAAGAATGTCTCCAAATACACTTGAAAGGCGTCTAAGAGCGGAGATCAACCTTTTTGATAATGTAGGAGATACTATGCAACAAGTTGATGAGATGGAAAAGGTCCAGAATATAATCAATGCTCAGCAGCAATCAGTTGCTCTTGCACAAGTGTTAAAATCAAGACAGTTGACATACAAGCATGATCTTGAAAAGTTGTCCATGGAAGCCAAAGAAAAAGCTATGATATCTGCTAAAGATATTGAGTCTGCAAGGCTAGCTACTGCTGAAGCATCAATGAAGGCTCTGCAAATGATGGCTGATATAAAACTTAAAGCAGCAGATGAGGCAACTGAAAATGCCAAAAAAATAGTACAAGTACATGAGAATACAACAGCAATTGTTTTGGATGCAGCAAATAAAGTAGATAAATCAAGGAATGACATTTCAGAAGCTTATAGAATTTCTGTTGAGCGTCAGTTACATGATGTTGAAAAAGTTGCTGTTGCTGCAGCTTCAGCAGCTTCAGTTGCTGCAGTCAATGCAGCCTTGGAGCATCATAAACAACAACTTGAGCGGTTGAGGATGCAATCACTAGCGAAAATCTCCAAGTTATATTCTCCTCCAGACTCAGCTTCATCAATTGTTTCAAATAAAATGAAACCCACTGATGCAACAGTGATTGATTCTGTTTCACAAACAAAGAACTCTCATGAGAATAGAACAACATCAGCTTCACGCTCACAAATGAACAGTTATGATACAAGCAAAATGTTAGAAGGGTCACTTTCGCAAACAAAGACACTCACCAAAGAAAACAGTAGAACATCTTCAAAATTTAGTAATAGGTTAAAAGATTCCATTAGTTTTGTTGACAGTGTGGCAGCTAATTCTATTTATTCAAATGCTGTATTAAATAAGATAGACAATGTGACCTCTAAAATATATGATGACAGTTTTAATATAGACAATGTGACCAATGATGACAGTTTTATTTCTAGTAAACTAATTGTTGATGAAGAGGTTGATGAAAAGTCAGAAAAAAGTATTGCTGAGGAACTTTTTTTAAATGAGCTTGTTTCTCAGGCTTCATCCTTAGAATCACACGGTTCGTCTGTAAAATCGCAGGCTTCGTCTGTAAAATCGCAGGCTTCGTCTGTAAAATCGCAGACTTCATCTGTAAAATTGCAGGCTTCGTCTGGAATATCACAGGCTTCGTCTGTTAAATTTAAGAAAATGATCAGTAGCAGTGCTAACATTAACGAGGAGAGAGATAAAATGATTAGTATTGACACTAATGATAATGAAGATAAATCTTTCTCCAATATTTCTTTTAGTAGTCACATTGCAGAAGGCAAGTTTATTTTTACTTATTTGGCAATTTATCTTTAATTTTCAAATCTTTTTATTTAACCAATTAACGTTTTTTTAAATGTTACTTTAAGAATTTCAAAACGAAAACGAAAGCATTCGACTAGGCGAGCATTTTAATTCTTCATTAACAGAAAACGAATTAAAAAATGATTTCCGTATGGTTTTACCATCTGAAAATCACAGAAGGAAAAGTTTAGACTCCAATAATATTATTTCTACTAATGAGCAGTCGTCTTCTGTAAGTTTTAATTTGATGTGTAGTTTATTTTTTTATTTGCTATACTTGATTTTTTGTAGCTTTATTAAATTTTTATAAACTTTAAATTTTGACATTTTCAAAGAGTTTAATAATTTATTTAACTAAAAACTTATTTTTATGTACTTTTTATTTTGATATAATTTTATAACAATATATTTTAAGATTTTTAATAACTTACTTAATAAATTGAATGCTCCCTTAATACAATGATATGAAATTATATGAAAATAAAAAGTTGTGTGGGTAACACCTTTATACAATAAATATGAAATTATATGAAAATTAAAAGTTGTGTACATAAAAAGAATAAAATACAATAAAAAGAAGTTTCTATAACAATAAAACAAAAAAAAGAACTATTTTTATATATTTATATAAATTTTAGGATGACATCAAAACACCCAAAAATAACAAGGTAGTTTTGCATTTAACTTTTTTAACTATATGCATTGTTTGTTTTTTTAATACATTCAGTTCTCAGAGGCAGAGGGTTGCTACAGTTCAGGAAACTACACTTTTTAATTTATTTTTTTTCCTGAATCCCCCCTCCCCTCCTCATTTATTGCCCCTTTAGCTTTAAAACATAAGTCGTGGCAAACAAGGCTGATGTTCAGAGAAGCAAGCTTAGGCAGTAATATCAGACAAATGGCATGGCTTTAATCTTCCTATGACTATATATGAAAGCTCTAGTACTTCACCACTACCACAATTGTTTGAAAAACTTATAACTATTTATTTTGAGTATTTACAAACACTTTGTTGTATTTAGCGTCCTCGCAGACATTCAAAGAGTCCATTTGCAGAAGAAGATACTTTTTCTAGATTCACAGTAGATATGGTTTGCCAATACATTCAAGAAGAAGAAATGCGAGCAAAACATCAGAAGGCATTGTTAGCTCTTCGCGAGAAAGCTATTATTGAAAAAACAAAGGCAGAAATGGCATTCTTAGAAATGAAAAAAAAAAGCTTCAAAAAGAAAGGAAGTGATGATATGATGCCACCAATTACAAAAAAACAAAGAGCACTACTTATGAAACTACAAGCTGAACAGGTTTATGTTGTTTTATTGTTATATAGTAATAAAGCATTAAATTTAGTTTTAATATAAGTTGCAACAACAACAAAAATTCTAAAAGTGACTTGCTTAAAGCACTGCTTTTTTTGTCAAAAAAAAGTGACTTAAATATGGCTAATTTAAAAAAAAATGGTTTGATTAAATTTTTATAGGTTCAATATCTATTATGTAGAATTTTTATAAAAGTCCATGTTTGTTTAAAAGAGTTTAGTTTAAAAAAATCATAAAAAACTTAAATGAGTTTAATGAAAAATTGATTTTAGAAAAATTAGTCTAATGTTAATGTTTAGTTTTTGTTTCTTTTTTTATTACAAGTCAGTATGTGTTATTGGTTTTAAATAAAGGTACTCCTGGCTGAATATGTATAATATATAATAATTGTATAATGGCATATTTTAATCCAATTGAAAATATCAAAATGAATAGTTGTTGCAATAGCAATTAAAATTCTAAAGAGATCTGCATGGTTTGCATTTAATGAATGAATTATTGAAACTCTTTTGTATTTTAATGATAAAGAAGGAGTGCAAAAGATGTGATTAATGAGGAAGAAGATGATAATACCCAGTTTAAAGATAATTCAACAATATGTTGCAAAAACTTCAGTTTTAAATTAAACATAAAAAATGTTGTTAGTTATAAAAAGTTTCAATAAAAATTATTAACAAAATATATGATTAGTTTGTTACAAATTAGTTGTTTTGGCTTAAAGTTTTTGAATCAATACTATGTACTGTGTGTCCATATTAAAGGTTTTTACTATGTACTGTGTGCCCATAAAAAACATCATATCTCTGTTCATTTTTAATGAATTCTGTTTGTGAAAAATAAATTAAATTTTTATCATTTAAAACAAACCATAAGTAACAACTATAATAATTTTTTCTTTTCTTTTTTTTTCTTTTTTTTTTTAAAGTTTTTTTTTATTTATGTTTTTCTTTTACCTTCTTTATTTTTATTTCTATACAAAATGTACATAAATTGATTGATAAAGTTTTAAGGGTAGTAAAATATACATAGGTTGACTGAGGGTTTTGACATGAATCTATATAATGTGTATATAATAATTTTTAGGCAGAAATTCGTCGTCAAAAGGAAACATTAAAAGTAGCAAAGCATGAACGTAAATCTATGTTGAATCAGCAAAGAGAAATCCAGCGAATACGTTCATCTACACAAATTATATGGAATAAGTTAGGAGGGCTTGACAAAAACAACTTATCTTTAAAGGTTAATTTTATTGTGTATATTTAGTCATTTAAATGTTTTTCCAGAATTTTTTTTTTTTTCAATAGAGTAATTTTTTCAAAGTAAATGGAAAAGAATATCTTTCTATTTTTGTTCTCTTTGTTTTAATAGGAAGATGTTTGTGAATCTGAAAATTATAAAACTATTGATAGTTCTGTTTCGTCAAGTTCAAGGCCAATTGTAAAAGAATCTGATTTAACAAATGCTTTATCAGATGAAAATAATAAATTGTCTAGTTGCTTAACTACTGTAGGAGTTGAGGTAAATAAAGATCACATGAGTAATCATGAAACTTCAGGTGAAGACAAATCAAGCTTTTCTCAAGATTTGAAAAAATTGCGGAATATAACAAGTGAAAGGTATTTTTTTTTTTAAGTTAGAAGTTGTTACAAATCTCAATTTAATGTTTTATTGGCACCTTGAAATGTTTTAGGTATTTGACAGAGCGTGAGAAGAAGTTACAGTTAAGAAAAGATCAGTTTAGTAAGATTTTAGAACGTGAAAATAAGCTTAAAAGTTGGCGGGAAAAGATAATTGAAGAAGAACAAAAATTAAAAGCAGAAATTAAACGTGTGCTTTATACCGATGAAAGGAACAATTTTGACAAAAGTGAGTGTAGAATTTTTATTTGCTGAATCTAAAATCAAGTTTTATGTTAGTCAAACATGAATTAACATAAACAAGTTTATTTAGATGTAAGCGTAACTGCTTCACAACTATTGTCTACTCAAACAAACAGTAAATCTTCATATAAAACTTCATCACCTAATAAACAAGTTGATGTTGCGTCAAGTATAGCTTCTTTAGTTCTGGAACACCATACTTCTGCAGACAGTGTTTCACCTATATCAGAAAGTCTTTCATTGGAAAAAAGATCCCAACAAACAAGCTCAGGTGATGCATCTTCACAAGTTGTAGTTAAATCAATATCACAGGAATCAAAAAGTTTAATTATTTCTAATAAGTCACCTTATTATGATGATGGATCATTTAAAGAAAACCTTTTAACAGAAACATTAAAAGCACATTTAATTACATCTGATATAAAAACAGAAGAAATTTTATCGCACTGTAATGTAAGTATTGAAAAAAAATCTAAAAAGGTTACAAAAAGCTCAATGAGCTCCAAAGTTCTACATCAAGATCATTCAGATTGTTATTCTAATGAAATTTTTGAAGATACTTCTGCACAAACTAGTCCAATTTTTAACAAAAAAACTGACCAAGCAATAAGTGTAAACAGAAGAATTGATGAGGAGTCAACAACAGGTGTGTCATTTAAAGTTTTATTTACAATTTTTGCATATTGGGCACTATTGTATACTTACTTCTTTAGAAAAACAATCAACGTTTACTTACATTTAGCAGTTTGAGGGACAGCTATTACACTTATATTAAACAAGTTTACTACTAAATTTACATATAAAAATTAAATCTCTTGAATTTCCTAAAAAATACAGTTCAAATACCAGAATTTATTTTTTGTATTAATTTAAATAAATTAAATATTTTTTTTATGACGAAAAGGAAAATAAAAGAACAACATTTCAATAAATAATTGAAGAGAACAAAAAACTTTTTAAAATAATCATATTGATGAGTTTTTTAGACCAGCAACGTTTGTAAGGGATTTAAAGGTAGTGATCTTTATTTAATTATTTTAATTTTTGGTTAATGTGCAGACATGGTTAAGTGTATACATTATATCTATAACAAATATGTGACTCGTTTCACAAAGTCTATTTTGGGATTAATCAAATGTTTCAACACAAGCTTTTATGTCAATTTTAAATTTTTTGTCTGCAGAAAATTTAATTAATTTACAAGGTAAAAAAAAATGTATTTAATTTACAAGGTAAAAAAAATGTATTTAATTTACAAGGTAAATTTACAAGAGCAGAAGTAGCTTATGTAAACAAGTTTAAAAGAATTTTCAGAGATCTCTTGATGAGCTTTTATGAGCTTCTTAAATGATTTTATGAGCTCTTCTATGAGCTTTAGGCTTTCCTCTTTGAAGCTGAGTTACCCAAAAATTTTTTTTTTTTTAGCCAGTTCATTATCAAACTAGGTTTATGACTGACAGCTGGTTCTACACCGTTTTAATACTTTTTTGCGCCTTAAACCATTCATTTTTAACAAAAAAATTAGCGTAAGATTTTTTTTATAAAAGTTATTTTGGGAAGCTCACGAGTTTTCCCAAAATCAGCATAAGATATTTTTTAAGAAAGTGATTTTGGGAAACTCACGAGTTTCCCAAAATCACTGACTAGTTATTTTGCCTTAACTCAATTTTGAAAATTTGTAAAAATTGTTTTAGAATATCTGTGCTCATTGGTCAATTCATGATTAGTGACATTTTGAGATTTAAATAGCTTAGGAAGTGGATTTTTCAAACAAAAACTGTTTTGTATTTTATTAGTAGTAAAAAATTAATTTTATTTTTAGAGTAGTTTATATTTAGAGTAGTTTGTAGTTAATCTCGAGTCCTTAATACAAGGAGGGGGTAGGACGTATATTAATTTTTGGGAAATTTTCCCACCTACCCTAAGCTTTTTAACCTCACCACCCCCCGACTCCTCGTTTATTAATTTTTACTTGTTATCAACAAAATATTTATATCATAACTATAATAAAAAAGTTTAGTGAAAATTAAAATGTTAAAAAATAATTATTTGAGTATATCAGTGTATTAAATTCTATTGAAATTAGGATTAAAAGGCTGTTAGAAAAATGTGCATTTGACCGTAAGTCACGCTAGAATTAAATAGTTTATGCGTATTTTGTAAAAACTATTAGTTTGAATTTATAAATTGAAATTTTTTATTGATAAATTTAGTTTAAAAGAAAAAGTATCCCCCTCCCTCCTTTATTACCGCCCCCATTCCCTTGCATTAAGGATTCGAGAGTTAAGTAAATTTATTGGAATTTACTCTAATTAAACAAAAATGAAAATTTAAAAAAATTGTTAATAAATATTGCAGAGATATTCTTTAAATTATTGTTTACTACTAATAAAATACAAAATATTGCAGAGATGTTCTTTAAATTATTGTTTACCTCTAATAAAATACAAAATAATATTTATTTAAAAAAATTCGCTAAGCTACTTCTTGTATTTCTTGTGACAAAAAAATGTTATTTGATATTCTATTTATCAAAAAAAAAATACAGAGTAAAAGATTTAAATTTAAGTATGAAAAGTCTTTTATTGAAAAATCAATAAATACTCTTTTAACGTGCTATATTTCTTTCCCACCCAAAATTAAATGAAAAAGCAAAATATTTTTTTAAAAGCTTTAATGTAATAAACAGTTTAGGTATGTATTTAAATTTAGAGTTAGCTAGTCATACAAAAACTTAGTAATATAGAATATATTAATTGTTAGAAAAATAAGAGAATAAATGTGGGTTAAAAAATTTTAAAACAAGGAAAAAGAATTTTTAACTATAAATCAAAACTATCTTTTTAATTCTTTTCAACTTATTAATAGGAACAAAAATTTGTTTATATAAGACAACCATCGTTCCGGAAAATCTTAATTAAGTTTAACACTCTCCTACGTAAATTCCGAAGCGATGGCAACTATTTATAAAGCAAATAATGCTTTATTTATGTGCAAATAGTACTACGGTTACACAAAGAAAATTTTTGTTTCAAATAAAAAAAATTTTAAATTCATCTTAATCGTTATTGATATCCGTACTTAATTATTATTCACATTGTTATAATTATGTTGGATTCCAGTCTTAATAGAGGTTTCAAATACCAAGGATTCTTTAGTTAAAATAAATTGATTGCAATGAGTTCATTATTTCAAGAGGGGGACTCATGAAGCGGAGTATAATTTTTGTTTGCTGGAATTTATGAGATTTTTAAAAAAAGGTTAATATTTTTCAAGATGTTACTTACTAGAAATTTTTCTCTTTATCCAATTCTATTCAAATATTTTTTGATCTAGAAGGTACGTCAGATGTCAGTGACATAGAGCAACGTTTAAGAGGACTTGAAAATGAGTTGCAAAAAAGACGAGATCAGCTTAATCATTTGCGCAGAAAGAAAGAAAAGGAAATGCTTAAAAAAAAGGAAATTGAAATGAAGAAAGAGCTGCAGGTAAGTGCAGTATTTTCTAAAAATAATGCCTTTAAAAAGTTATTTTCAGTTATAAATTAAAACTTTTTAATTATTTTTTATTTTTTTGCAAGTTACTTGAACAACAGATTCGACAAGAAAAGAAAACTGAAACAAGTGTTTGTCCTGCAAGGACTCAATCTCCTCGCATACTTTCTCCTAGAAGCAGTTTGGAAGCTCCAGAAAAGAATTTTTCTGACAAAGATTCTCGTAGAAGTCTAAACTTTGACCAAGATATTAACAATGGTAATAAAATTGATCAACGGGAATCATTTTCAAAAAATCTTCACAGCAACTCAGTCCATAATGATTCTACAAAAATGAGTTCCAAATTGACTGATAGCATTTTGTCTAATCAATCGATAAATGAAATGGTTTGGGATGTTGAAACACGCGAGTTTGATTCAAGCGCAATAGAGAAAAGTGAAAATTCAGAAAATACCAACAAAAGCATAGTGAAAAGCCTTTCTGAAAATACAAGCAGAAGCGTAGAGAAAAGTATTTCTGAAAATACAAACAGAAGCGTAGAGAAAGGCGTTTCTAAAATTATCAACAAAGGCGTAGAGAAAAGCATTTCTGAAAATACTAACAAAAGCATAGAGAAAAGTATTTCTGAAAGTACCAACAAAAGCGTAGAGAAAAGTATTTCTGAAAGTACAAATAAAACCATAGAGAAAAGTATTTCTGATAATACCAACAAAATTATTGAAAAAAGTATTTCTGAAAATACCAACAAAAGCGTAGAGAAAAGTATTTCTGAAAATACAAATAAAAGCATAGAGAAAAGTATTTCTGAAAATACTAACAAAAGCGTAAAGAAAAGCATTTCTGAAATTAGCAACAAAAGTATAGAAAAAAGTATTTCTGAAAATATCAGCAATACAATAGAGAAAAGCATTTCTGAAAATACCAACAAAACCATAGAGAAAAGTCTGGATGGATATTCCGCCAGACCCATTCCAACAGGTGCTAAAGAAAACGAGTATTACGATGATATTTTTGAGCTTTCGCTCAAGAGCTCTAATGGAAATTCTTATGAGCACTTATCCAGCATTTCGAAGAAACTTAACGATAGTCTAGGGGTCAAACCATTGGAAACAACCAACTTAATAAATAATAAACATGATCACTCGGTAATGTCTGATAAAAGCAAAAGCAGTCGTTCGGATTTTTATCAGAAAAGTGAAAAAGAAAACTTTAATGTTTCAAATGCGTCTGAAAAAAAAGGAGAAACTACTGTTTCGTCTTATGTTTTCAATTTAAACGATCGAGTCATAGTTGAAGGTAGATTAAAAGGAACAGTTATGTATATTGGTAAAATATCAAATTCAGATCTTACCGTGGCAGGAGTTATGCTTGACGAACCCAATGGTACAAGTAACGGTACATTTAATGGACATAAATACTTTGATTGTCGTCAAAACTACGGATTGTTTATAAAAGTTGAAAACCTTGAAAAAATCTCTGATTTAGTTTCAAAAACGATTGTTGAAAAAGATATTATTGAAAACATAGATAATTTTCATAATAGTGATACGCATTTGCCTAGTTCTATTCCTAAATCATTTATTGAAGAAGACACAACAGAAAAGTTGAGTGATATTACTGACTTTAAAAGTAGTGAAACTCATTCTCGAACAAATACACCAGATGTTGAAAGTGCTGACGAACTATCTGAACATAAAAATCATATATCTGAAACATCATTTAAATTGCTTCAAAAATCTAGCGAAATAATAAAATTTGACTATATATCTTCTGGTCATCTATCTCAAAAGGATGATATGTCGGTCGAATCATGCTCTTCAAAATCTGTTCATAAATCAGATGTTAATCGATCAAATGAGTCAAATAGGTCTTTAAATATAAGTGAATCAACCAGTGTTAAATCACAAATAATAAACAAATTAAATGAAGTAGATAACTCTTTATCCATAAACGGTTTTACCAGTGTTAAGTATCTATTTAACGAATCTGATCTTACTAATTGCGTAAAAACAGTTGATAAACAATCATATAATCAGTCAATAAATATATCTCATAAACCTGAAATACATTCTGATACCGTTGATCATATAGTAAATAGCTTGTTAAAATCGCTTTTAACTGAAACAGTTAATATATCTAAAGGTAGAGCTATGCGCGTCAATAAATCAGAGTCCATCGAAACAAGAGCCATGCATGACAAATCAGAGTCAATCAAAACAAATATTATCACTGAATTGGCAATGAAAACTTTATTAAATGATGCTATATCGCATATGATAAATGTTAAAAAATGTAAAAGCTATTCCTTGAAAACAATCCCTGATGATTTTGTTTCACTACGCGTACAAGATCCAGCAAATACAACGATACAATATCCGACGATACAAGATCCGACAAAGCATATTTCTTTAACTCAAAACCATCCTGATGTTACAGAAAAAATTAAAAATTTAAAAACTGTACACGATGAATTAGATGCGTTGTTAAAAGACTCTGATTCTGCAGGAGACTCTGATACTGATTCGGAAGAAGAAATTCGATCCTCTAACATCATACTTCCTCCTCGTGGATTTGATTCAGAAGAGCCAGTGATGAGTATCCCGTATACAGAAATAGAAACTAAAGATTTAGTATTAGCTGCTTTAAAGGAAATTGAAAATCTTTCTTTAGACGAAATGATGGTAACTCAACCTTCAAACAATTTTTTTACTAAAATAAAAGATAATCATGATAGGAATTCCATTTTATATTGTCAGCTTGTTTTTGACGTTTCCAAATCGCTTTACCATGACATTATACTTTTTCGGCAAGATCACAGACAAAATCATCCACTTTTGTTTCAAATACGTCGGAAAAACTATTCAAAATTTACTAGGACAACTAATCAACTTGTTGATGAAAATGAAATACGTTCTGCTGTATGCGCCCATGTGTGTACTATATTAGGTCTAAAACCAGGTAGACCGTCATTAGAAAAACTTAAACATAAACTTCCATTAAATCTTGCCAAAAAAGACTACGTCGATGCAATACTTGTGGAAGAATTACGTGAAGAAGAGATACAATGGGTAAACTATGATGAAGACGAGTTGCGAGTAAAGTTTCAACTCGCTGATGCAATACTAGAAAATCTTCTGTATGAGATTACAATTATTCTTTCTTCTGTGTAAATAGCTTTGATTTGCAAAGAAATGCCAAATATATATGTATACACACACATACACCCGTTTATTTATAAAGTGATAATATGTTAATAAGGATTTAATATAATTTACTTTAATTAGAAATCAAATAAATGCAAAATAGTAAATAAAGTCAAAATAAGTTGTTATAATAAAAATCCAACATGGAATTATTGTAAATAACCGTAAGTGATTGACCAAGAATCGGATCGGTTTTTTTAACTTTATAATGTGCATAAATTTGACAGTGCAAAAAAGTTTTTTGTTATTTATTTCAATTTTTAAATAAATTTTTTGTTACTTAATTAAAAAATTTAATATTTTAAAAATTGAAAATCTTTAATCATTACAGTACAATCTCTCTAATTCAAATTTTATGGGGAAAAATAAAAATTCGAATTAGAGAGATTTTCAAATTATAGAAAGTTGACTTTTTTTCAAATATTCTTTTCGAAGTAACGAATAGAAATCAAACAAACAAATAGTAATTCTTAGGCTAAAAAGCAATATATATTATGTGTTTTAAACTTTTAAATTTGAAAAAAATAGTCAGTAATTGTAGATTGTCTTTTATGAGCTAGTAAAAGACACGATTTATATCTTTAAGAGCCTTTGTCAAATTATCTTCAAATTAGTTTGCTTTTTCTCATGGCCTTCTATAATAACAGGCCTTGACATCGCGCGACACGCCGCAAAAACTGAAGGCCGATTAAACTTTGATTGCTTGTATATTTATATAAAGTCTTACTAATCGCTTTTAATACTTTGTCAATACTTTCTTATTCGAATCTTTAATAAAGAAAAAATTATAATAAGAAAACTAAAATCGTTTGAAAAATGTTCATACTTTAACATATTTAAAAATGTTAATAGAATTTTTTTTTTTTTTTGCTTACAGAACATAACTTGAAATAAAGTAACATCAAAAAATGTCAAATAAAAACAAAAACAAAGTCAATTCATTAAAAAACTTTTTAGTTTTATGTATCTCTTATTATGTATCAAATAAGGATAAAAATATAAAATAAACATAAAATGTATAAAAATAAAACTATTTTTAAATTTAAATACATCCAGAGACATAAAACAAAAGGAGAATTAAAACCTGAAATTCAAAAAAACTATGACAGCTTTAGTATTTTTGCTTTCGATTCTCTGCTACTATTAGGAGTAGAAATTAGTGCATAATTCTTCAACAAAATATTAGAATATATTCTGCATTGTCTCTTTGTTATTTTAAATCTATACTTGGCTGCTATGAATTGAAACTGAGTTACACAAAATGTTCTGCATAAAGGTCCAGTGGCACCTTGAAAAAATAGAAAACAAAATATTGACCATTGGACGAGAGTATCAGTAGGAATTTCAAGTCCACCTCTGTTTAAGCTATTCAGATAATCTCCATATTCGTTATAATAACTGGTTGTATCATCATAGATATTTATTTCATTTTTTTGTACATAGCCAGCTATGTAAACGATAGCTAATAATGTCGATTTATTAACCAAGCTTTCAAGATCATGCAAATTATCCAGCAATTCTTTTTCATCAGTAGAAACATCTCTGCAACATATGTCACAAATATGACCATCAACACCATTAACAGGAATGTCTAGTTGTAATATCAGTTTAGTATGTTGAATATGTATTTTTTCAAGTACAGATTTAGCATTTATGAAGTATGTACCCCCAGACCCCTGACGAAGCTTAGAAAAAGGTTTTTCAAGAGGATCTGTTGAAAACCAACCTAATAAAACATATTTGGATCCAGTACTCAATAACGTTTCCACAAGATCAATGAAACCATAGCATGTATGTTCTATTGCAGTACTGGTATCATGTGTAAGCTGCTTAAATCGCTTACCTGTAGGTTTCATAAATTTTGCCAAATCAGCAGTATCTCGCAGCAGTTGTAACTGTTGATCATCAATTGAGTGTATTTCTCCGCGCAATTCATTTCTAAATCGAATTCCAGCACCAGGTGCTTTGACATTAACAACACTCCAAAAAGAAATAATTTTTTCAATAAATACAGCAGTACCTTCAAATTCTTTATTTTCAATGTCTGGATGTGTTCTAAAAGCAGCTACTGTTTCTTCACAAAACACAGACAAACAAAATTGTACAGACTGTCTCTCTATTGGTCTTGGATAAACTGATTTAGCTGTTAGTTTAGAAAGTTTTAAAAGGCTAATAGATTCAGTTTTATACAAGGTTTCCAAATCACTCCACTTGGCCAAGGTCAGTTCCCCATTGTGCAAAAAACAAAGTTGACCAGTCTTCTCTGTCAACCAATTATTTCGTATACATTTTAGGAGATGGACATAGTCATACAATAAATATGTACCTGATGTTGTTAACCATGGTTTACTTTCAAATGTTTTAAATGTTCTGAAAAATCGTTGATTTACCCGGTTACCATCAGTGATGATTGCAAGTGTCTTACTGTTTTCAATAATAGTTATTGCATCAAGAATTTGTTGACATTGTGCGAATTGAAATTCAGCGGAAAGATTTGAAACTGGTTGAGCTCTACATATAAATTCTGGTCCTCCAAAAAGACATTTAATCATAAATGATAAAATTGTTGTTGCTAGCCTCTCTGGGTAGTTTACTGAATGACCAAACAACGCGCCTCTTTGGTAAAGTAATGAAGCTTTTATATAAACTTCATCAATTAAAATAATGGAAGTTCTTTTTAATGGATCTAAATTCATAAAGATACTATTTATGAAGTTTAGGTCCTCCATAGAACTAATTTTTGAGGTCAGTCGTGTTAAAGTGCGTATACTGGGCAACTTGTAGTCAACACACAAACGATCATATAAACTACGTCGCATAGCAAAATACTCATACGCTCTACATATAATATCTGGAGTATATAATACTTCACCAACACTAACTTTTCTCATCACATTAAGGTGCTCAAATAGAATATTAGATTGATGAGAACTCTCTTTATGTTTTAAAAATCTAACTGCTTCAAATAAAGCAGATCTTGTTTTTATTAATTTTAAATTGTTTGCAGTTAAAGATGAGATATTGCAAGTTGTGCCATTATGGTAAACTGTGAATGAATAATTATCGAAAATTTCCAAAAGAAACAATGGAACTCCAAGTTTGTACATTTTTGACTGTATATGCACACTATTTTTGTTAAATTGAAAAACAATAACATCATTGCTATTAATGAAAATAGATTGAATTTCGGCGAATGAAAGTTCATCGTCTTTTAGAAAAACATTAAACTCGTCTGGAAAGACATTTCGAAATCCTCTTGAAGTTACAGTTTTTCTGACTTTATTCGATGGTGTTGGTAAACAACTAGGCGGAATATTTTTAAAAACAGATGGTGGGTTTAATGGTCGTTGTTTTCCATACTTGGTTTCAAAAGGTGCATCATCAGGCCAATGCAGTCGACATACTGCTGTATAGTCAGAAATAGAGAAATTTGCTCTTGGGATGACATCTCTCCATTTTTTTTTTTCCTCTGGATTTTTTGGGAATTTATATATCGATATTTTTGATTCAGTCGAGTGATAGTTTGACTTGCAGAGAGGTATGCAGCATTTTAAAGGCATCTTCTACTCTACTCAAATAACTTTATATGAGTTTAAAAATACTCAAGCCAGTGTTATGAAGTTAACTTTTACGTCTTAAAGTTGCGCTCTAACCAAACCTAACCAATCGAATTTGAAAAATCTGCTCTAAAAGCGCAAACTAAATCTTTTTTGTAAAGTTAAAAGAGGAAATGCAAACACAGTATTATAAATCGGCCTCTAGTCTGGCAACTTTATAGCGCGATGTCAAGGCCTGTTATTATAGAAGGCCATGCTTTTTCTTAAATTAGTCTAGCCATCCTTCCAAAGCTTGAAAATTTTTGAAGCGCAACTCTATCGCAATATATAAAGCTTTTTAATTTACCAGCAAGTCACTAATTGGTACATTAACAGCTCTCATTCTTTTGAACCATTTTAGTACAGCTTTGTTTACTAGGTAATACGATCCGTTTAGTCAACTTTCCTTGACAAAAAGCGTCAATGATTTTATCTTTATTCTTTTTCCAGGTTAAAAGAGTGTTTGGTGGAAAATCAAAAATATTCAAAACCTCTTTATTTGTTTTTCCTTTCTTCAATTCCATTAGAGTTTTTTATTTCCGCTTTAAATTGTTTTCTTTATGTCTCTTTGATGCCATAATACTCTAATCGTTTTTCAAAAACTCACAACATTCGAATTTTGAAAAAAGATTTTGACGGTTTAATGAGCTTTTGACACGTCAGAAGTTAAAAAAGTTCGATTTACAGAGAGAATCTTACTGACGGGTCTAAAATATTCATTCGAATTGTGGAGGATTTCGAATTATAAAAAGTTAAACGTAAGAGTTTCTTAAGCGCATTTCACGTTGACTTCGCATTTAATCGAATTATGGAGGTTTTCAAATTAAGGAGATTCGAATAAGAGAGATTGTACTGTATTAACAAAAACGTCAGAAACGTTTAGTAATTCTTAACATAATTTTGATTTGGATAGTTCTTACATGTTTTTTAAATCTGGAGAGACTATCAGTCGTGTCACTATATGTAAATGATTCAAAAATTTTACGTCTTCTAGAATAAATAAGACAGGGGTTTATTATTATCGTTAAGGGGCTTGCCGCAAGTTAGTCAACTAAGTTTGCAAGTAATAAAATTTAACAAATACAGCTGTGAGCATGAAAATAGCAGTACTAAAAAATTATTCGTATTTTCATTATTACTCTTCTTCTGTATAAAAAGATTAATTTTTTATGTGTGTATATACAAGAATGAGATAAGTAAATTAGGCATATGAGAATTCATTCAAATACATCAATACACAAATAAAAAAATATCTAAGAATACCGTTGTTTTTGATAAAATTATTGTAATTTAGAGGGTGCATTAAAATAACAGTGGTATTGATTTTAAAGTTAGTTTATAAAATTTAAAGAAATTTTTGTAATATTAACAGGAAAAGTAAGTATAATTTTAATTATAATATATTCTATATTTATTTGTGTA